TCTCTGCTCAGATCTATGATGGCTCTTGAACAGTCACAATCTCAGGGCTAAAAATAATGCAATCCTCGTAGCGCAGTTCCGGGCACATCTGAAGCACCGGCGATAAAACCTCTTGCGACGCTCGCACTCCCCTTAGCTTTCCGCAGCCGCTCCATTCTACTCATTAGCAGCGTTTAGCAGCTCATTAGGCAGCTCGTTGGCAGCTTCTTACTGTGACGAAGCCACGCACACACACACACATACATAGACACACGTACACACGAACAGGCATACACATACACACGTACCCGTATTCTCATACACGATTGCACACGAACACATGGACATTCAGATACACGTGTGCTCGAACACGCTCACGTTCAGTTAGACACTTTGAAGTGCAAAGTGTCTAACTGAAGTGTTTGCAGTGTTTTAAATTCAAAACCACATTCACATAAAAATCCGTACACAAACAGAAATTCACACGGACATTCATACACAAAAACGTATTCACATAAACACCCGTGCACATAAATAAATTCACACAGACACCCGTACACAAATACAAATTTACACAGACACCCGTACACAAATACAAATTTACACAGACACCCGTACACAAATACAAATTTACACAGACACCCGTACGCAAACACACATTCATGCAAGCACACGTAAGCAAACACACATGAAACAAAAGCTTGCAAACACATAAAGGCACACATATTAACTCGAGGTTAAAAGAAGAAGACCTTATTTTAGGCTAGTTAAGGCTAATTTCTTCGTCTTTCTTTCGACACATGTAACAGGCCTGTTTACCTTATTCAAGGGCTTGGGTAAACAACATTTAGGACTTATTTAAGAGAATTATCTAAGGATTTATATAGGAGCTTATTTTAGAGGCTCATTTCGAAATACACTCCTCGAGTTCAAGTCACCAGTGTTTATACATATTCGTGCTAAAGCTCATGTTTTGATGAGTTAGAGATCAGCTTCCGGCAGAACATCAAAGACAGATTCGGCCGTTTTTTAAAGCCCGCAATAACACGGCAGCAATACGGGGAAGTTTCGATGGTATTGAACCTCTACGCGTTTGTTTATTTGCTGCGATCAGCTGACAGCGCCGCTGCATGCGACAATACTGCTCTATTGCTGCTCTATTGCTGCTAACTCCCCTGCTCTGCTCCCAATGAGGTTTTTACTCGTTTTTTTCAATTCAGTATGAATATGACTGCATTTTTATATACTTTATCATCTATATTGTTCCAGATCAACGCAATAAACACTGCAATTATTCGTTTTTATGATTTTTGAAAAATGTAGTTCCTTATCGACTCGAAATGTGTCAGCAGCATCTCCGAAATTAGCTCGTCAAAGAGTCGTGAACTTCCTGCAATTTTTAAAAATCAATTCCCCAACAAAACGCTTATTTCAGGAAAATTTTCTAATCAGAAGTATGTGATAAAGTTTGCAATTTAAATTATGTTATAAAAAATCGGGCTGTTCATTACTCACGGCAGCAGCACAGACTCATCCATCACTCAGTGCCCCAACTATCACCCAACATCCAGTACCATTTCAATTTATCATTTCAATTGAATCAATTGAAATCATTTCAATTGATCAATCAGTTGAAATCATTTCAATTGATCAATCAATTGTGTAAATAAATGGAATTGATTTATCAACCAATTCAACTGATATCATGAGTGAAATAGCAGGCGTTAAACTGATCGAAGAATATAGCAGCTGTTATCATCTCTTCACTATCCGTTTTATTGCAAAAGTCTGAAGTTCAAGAGTTCCTGAAAACCCTGAAATGAAGCATGGGTGTGCAATATCCTAATGCAGTTAATAATCATAATATTAAAGATATATTATTAGCGGTGATTAAAATAGTCATAATATTAAAAATATATTGTGAGCGGTGATTAAAATAGTCATAATATTTAAAATATATTATGAGCGTTGATTAAAATAGTCATAATATTTAAAATATATTATGAGCGGTGATTAAATTAGTCATAATATTAAATATAATATTAGTGGTGATTAAAATAGTCATATTACAAATATATTATGAGCGGTGATTAAATTAGTCATAATATTTAAAATATATTATGAGCGTTGATTAAAATAGTCATAATATTTAAAATATATTATGAGCGGTGATTAAAATACTCATAATAATAAAAATATAATATTAGTGGTGATTAAAATAGTCATATTACAAATATATTATGAGCTGTGATCAAAATAGTCATAATATTAAAGATAAATATGAGCGGCGATGAAAATAGTCATAATATTAAAAATATATTATGAACGGTGATTAAAATAGTCATAATATTAACAATATCAGCACCAGCTGCAGCAATATCAGCACCAGCTGCAGCAATATCAGCAGCAGCTGCAGCAATATCAGCACCAGCTGCAGCAATATCAGCAGCAGCTGCAGCAATATCAGCAGCAGCTGCAGCTAAAGCACACGCCTTATGACCTAATGATGAGTTGAGGATTTCTTAGTCCACGGTCACGCTGATGCGCCGCCTTCGTCGTCCTCCGTCTCCGAGTCGTCGTCGGATGTAACGTTGGACGTGTTCCGTCTATTTACCCTCATTTTGGCCAGCTGATGCAAGATGCTGTTGCTTGTCACTTGTTGAGGGTAGTTTCCCATTACTGGACAATCCGGGATCTTTCTCAGCCAAGCACCAGCTTGGTTGATAATTTCGGCAACTGCAGCAATTGAAACGGTACTTGTATCAATTATAATTCCAACTGCAGCAATAATAACGGCAGCTGTAGCAATGTAATTGCTCTGGCTCTGTCTGTAGACTTGAACTCCTCGCAAGCAATGCGTGAATGGCCCCAAATAATCCCTCGTCAGCGCTGGCCTCCTCTGTAGCGACCGAAACTTGGATCACGAATGCATTTTCTTCGCTTAGTTGCATTTAAGTTATTATTCCGTTTAAATTAAATTTCGCGAATGCCATGCTCGAAGGGATGGCAAACGAACGCGATCAGCTGACGAGCCAAGCATTGTTAATTTGCCAAATTTTTTTTCGGCAGTGAGTTACATCTTGAGTAGTGAACGTAAATGCGTATCCAAGTGTCTAAACTATTACAAATATTTTTACGTTAAAATCCGAGCTGATGCTTGAAAATTGAGCTGGCTTGCTTTTTGTGCAGTTTAGGCAGTAAGTTTGGCAAAAGTAATTTTCCGAACTGAACTAAGTTGATTTAGCGAAAAAAAGCAAGCATCCAAAAGCGAATTTAAAGTTGATTTAGCGAAAAAAGCAAGCATTGATTTAGCAAAAAGCAAGTTTGGGTGCGACCCCAAAATGAGGCACATGTTTATACATGAAATTCATCAATATTCCCGGCAGTCGCCTTTATTCCCGAGACGCATTCCTATATCGGCTCTGCGTTCTTCACAGCCCATCAACATATTTTAAGCGCCTATGAAAAATAAATTTAGAATATACTGTAGGGCGGTGTTTCTGTAGGGCAAGTCTGATGCTTTCAACTTTCAACTTCAGATCCATACAACCACCGAAATCTTTCGTATATATATAATTACTGTTTGAATATCCTTGTAAATATTTGCATCGCCTGAACAGAATTAATTTAAGAACATTGAAATATATATACCGGTTTATAAACGGATCAAAACAGGTGAATTTTTTTTAATTTTTCATTAACAATAAAATCATAACAACAAATTTAAATATTTTTATTTTCAAATGAAAAATACGTAATGTCTTCCTAATTCCTGATAATAAACCAAAGCTAAAAATTTAAAAAATTTTTATTTTCACAACGTCTTCCTAATTCCTGAAAATAAATAATACCTTTAAATTTAAAAAATTTATTTTCATAACGTCTTCCTAATACCTGAAAATAAATCATAACTACAATATTAAATAACTACAAATTTAAAATTTTTTATTTTCACAATGTCTTCCTAGTACCTGAAAATAAAATTTAACTAAGATTCAGGGTAGAAGATGCGTGTCTTGGCAGGACAGGAGGGCCTGACATGTAGGCCTACACAGCGCATGCAGCACGCCGCCTCTGCGCCGCGCTGCCGTCAGGCGGCGGTGAGACACAAGCCAGGGACGGCGTGAAACTTGACGCCGGCGGTGGCGGGGTGGGGTGGCATGCTAGAAATTATCGATACTTTGAAAATACATTTTAAGATGGTAATAGCCGTGAAATGCTAAAAGTTTATCCCGTGAAATGTAAAAAGTTTATCGTGGCTCATGAATTAGAATCCATCAGCGACCAAGCGAAGAAAACTCAACCAGGTAGCTTTAGGAAATGTAAAATGCATCGTAAATATAGTCAGACAAATGCAAGCGACGGCGTTGGGGTTGGTCTAGTCCAACAAGCATGTGAGGCGCGCGTTGGAGTTACAGAACCGTCTAACCCAGCGCACGTTGGAGTTACAGAACCGTCTATGCCCTNGCGTTGGAGTTACAGCACCGTCTAGTCCAGCGCGCGTTGGAGTTACAGCAGCGTCTAGTCCAGCGCGCGTTGGAGTTACAGCAGTCTAGTCAGCGCGCGTTGGAGTTACGATCTCATGAAGTGGAGGTTGGTGTGACAGACCACGTCAAAACAGACACAGCGCACGAGTCTCAGGCCAAAAACGCATAGGTTACTGCGTGTGTTCCTCAATAGGAAACGGTATCTAATTGCTGTATTTCTAGTCAAATTCTCGATAAAATATTCCTAGCAATGAAAGATAATAGGCACAAAAAATAACTTTTAATAAAGAAAATGAGAAGTTCTGCTTGCATGATATTTGGTTACTCCTTAATACACTCTACTTACTCCTTTACTCCTTAATGTACTCCTTAATATATTAAAAAAAGTAAGTATCGTGAGGTTTGAGCAGTAGACTAGCCTCACTTGAAACTAATATTCAGTTTTTTGCTTACCAACCTACACCGCTGTTTTTATATATTTTTTAAATGTTGTTTTTTAAAGAAATCCATTTTAAGATTTTCCGTCCATTGCAGGTGTTCGGGGACTGTCACAGCAGACATCACAGCACGGGCACATGAGTAGCAACAGCAGCGTCCACGCACCAGCAGACAATCAGCAGCAGTTGCTGGCTCACCAACATCATCTGCAGCTACAACAACAACAAGTCCTAATGTCTCCCCAATACGACTCGAAGAGAAGTTGGACTCCTCCTGCTCCTCATCTCGATGGGCCATCGGCACATGATGCAGAGATGTCTCGAGGAGGAAATCAGCAGTCGACACGTGTAGTCTCACCTAATCGTCCTCATGAGCCTCCTACCACTCCTGGCTTGGCCAATCAGCAAATGCTGCGGACCACCTACCCAGGGACACAGCCGTCGTTGCGTGGCCCTTACCTAAGCAACAACCCTAACAATCCTCATACAATCCGAGGCCCCTATTTGACTAGCTCCACGAGCTCTACTAGTCATCTCTCAGAGCGTGCTACCTCCTATTTGTCCAGCCCCAATAACAATCTCACGGAGCGTTCTGGTGCGTACATGACAAGTCCCACTAACCATCACTCGGAGCGTTCAGGCACCTACTTGAATAATCCTAGCTCTACTAACCATCACTCGGACCATTCTGTGTCTCCAATACCCAGCCACCAGGAAGCCTCCATCACGCCTCTACCCTCTAGCCAACTTTTCCATCAAAATCCTCATGTTTCTACTCAACACGCTCCCCCTCAGACCACTTCATCCACACCTCTCATTAGCCACCACCAAGTCTACTCCAACGAAGCACCACCGACTTACTACGATGCTGTCAAGTTTTCTATGTGAATCCCGGATCAGCAGATATTTTTTCTCTGCCGTCCGGTCCAATGTTAACTCACTTTTCCCAAGCTTGTGTTAATTCAGCTATGTTATTTGATATAATTACCAAATGAGGAATTTGAGAATATCTCTTTCAATTATATAATAACAATCATTTCAACCCAAATGCGTAAAGGCGAATTCTCCTATCACAGGACATATTTATTTGTTCGGCTTTTATAATTAAATAACTGTCAACTTATTTGGTTGTCCATTTTAGTTTTATGGGGCGTGCACTCTTCTTTATCGTAGAAAACCAAGCACATCGTAATTTTTTAATTAATATCTCATTTGTAAAATATGTAAAGCCAACTGTATATTATTTCAAGTTTATTTATTGTCATAGTGTCACGAGTTGGTGTCTAGTTTTTGTGTTTTATCGGTGATGATATGAGCACGAATGTTGTTTACTTATATGCAATAACAAAACTAATTGAGAAGGAAGCATTCAGCTAAAATCCATCACCTTAAACATTAAACATTACCCGTAACATGCACCAAAAACTGTAACGTTCCTAAACAGTCATTTGAACAAACACCAATAGTGCAACTTTCTTAAATGTTACGTAGAACAGGCACCCAAGACTGTAACCTTCCTAATAATTACCTACAACAAGCATCAATGACTTGAAACTTCCTAAATATTACTTAGAACAAGCATTAAAGACCACCACACCTTTCTCGCACAGTTATTCTAGGAGCCAAACGCAAACTTTTCCTGATTTGCTCTGTTGTAAATTGTGAAGCTACCGTAACCGTCATAGAAACTGGCTGGATGCACTTACTCTGTTGTAAGTTGTGAAGTGACCGTGATCACTGCACTGGCTGGATGATCTTGCTCCGTTGTAAGTGGTGAAACGACCGTGATCACTGCACTGGCTTGATGCACTTACTCTGTTGTAAGTTGTTAAGTGACCGTGATCACAGCACTGGCTGGATGCACTTATTCAGTTGTAAGTGGTGAAGTGACCGTGAACACTGCACTGACTGGATGCACTTACTCTGTAGTAAGTTGTGAAGTGACCGTGATCACAGCACTGGCTGGATGCACTTACTCTGTTGTAAGTTGTGAAGTGTCCTTGATCACTGCACTGGCTGGATGTACTCTATTGCACGTTGTGAAGCGACTTAGGACTCTAGTACATGACATCTAACATCCATCCTGTGAACTTAATATAATTTCGCTATAGCCTGAGTTTCAGAGATGTTCCGTTGTTCAGTTCTTTTTATATCAATGGAAATATTAGCGAGCAAGTTTTTTGTTGCAGTTTAAAAAAAAACGTTTGTTAACTGGTGCAATCGTTTTTCATATATGTCATATATAAACTATTATGTGCCTTTCGAACATTTTATTGACAATCATTTCATGTCTATTAAATGTGTGATTGATTTATTAGTGTTGTGTCTGCAAAGTGCAAACATTATTTACGGTGGGTTTCGACGTTAGGTCATCTCTTTTAGACATTTGGACATTTCTCCCGTTTCCAGCTAAAGTGTTTTTTACAATTTATATTTATTGAAAGAACACCCACTTTTTTCGCACTCTTACCAAGATATTAAGTCCAAAATCAAGCGAATGATAAGATATTCATATGAATAAAACACTGACATAATTGTGCCATCATAGCAATGGTAACACTGTCAAAATTGGCACATTACCAAAATGAGAAATTGCAACAATTGCCACATTGCAACAATTGCCATATTTGCAACAGTTGTCCATGAGTTGCACTGTCAATTAAAGCAACAACTGTGCCGTGCCGGTAGTACGACAGCAGTGCTGGTAGCACGGTTGCAGTGCTGGTAGCACGGTTGCACTGCTGGTAGCACGGTTGCAGTGCTGGTAGCGCAGTTGCAGTGCTGGTAGCACGGTTGCAAGCACGGTTGCAGTGCTGGTAGCACGGTTGCAGTGCTGGTAGCACGGTTGCAGTACATAGTTCTCATCATAAATCAAAGTAACTCTCCATCCACAGCAACATCTCAGTAGATGGCACATCATCTTATTTGTAATTATAATATGTCATTCACTTCATGTTGTTTTTGTAACCTAAATATAGAAATTAATTTATTTTAGACTAATTCGCTTCTAATAATTAATAATAATAATATTATTATTATTAAATATTTTATTCAGAATAATGCGCTTCTGAGTAGGCCAAAGGTAACCGCTAGACCAAGAAATCGCTTTTCCCGGGCTCAACCTCCCGCATCTTAATTAAATAAATTGCCGAATCTACGGCCAATCCAGCGATATACACTCGATTATATTCGCCGTTTCAACCGCCTCCTCGTGACCCATTTTCGATCGCCATCAACATTCACACTATTTTGTAAACAATTTCTAAGAAATAAATTAAGCTATTACTCAGCTTTCTTCCCTGTAGGGATGATTGTCACTTGACTTGTCAAATCATAAGAACCTTACATGGGTTTGAATGACACGTGATTGTCAAATCATAAGAACCTTATATGGGTTTGAATTACACGTGATTTTCAAATCACAAGAACCTTACAGGGTTTGAATGACACGTGATTGTCAAATCATAAGAACCTTACATGGGTTTGAATGACACGTGATTGTCAAATCATAAGAACCTTACATGGGTTTGAATGACACGTTATTGTCAAATCAAAAGAACCTTACATGGGTTTGAATGACACGTGATTGTCAAATCACAAGAACCTTACATGGGTTTGCATGACACGTGATTGTCAAATCAGAAGAACCTTACATGGGTTTGAATGACACGTGATTGTCAAATCAAAAGAACCTAACATGGGTTTGAATGGCACGTGATTGTCAAATCACATGAACCTTACAGTCAGTGGTATTATCTGCACAACTCCAGGAATATTCAAGCCAGTGTGACTATCAGTACAACGCCAGGAACATGCAAGCCTGTGTGATTATCAATACAACGCCAGGAACATGCAAGTACGTGTGATTGTAAGTATAGCATCAGGGACACGCGAGTCGACCAGTGTGGTTGTAGGTCATGAGGAACAGGCGAACCTGTGGGGTTTTCACTAAAACGCCTGGTGCCTGCGAGCTCATTCAATTCTCCGAACAACATTTGGAACATTCGAGCCCGTATGATTGTCACTTGCTAGTGTGTATGATTGTTATCATCTGCAAGCCTGAATGATTATCAACCGGAATCCAGTATAGTTTTCTCTACGAGTCTCACTATATGGCAGAAAATAGGAACCTATTTTCTATATATTTTAAATAGGAACCTATAAGACCACGTAAAACCTTCAGAAAGTATTATAAATTGTTTCCCGAGACTTTGCGCTGTGTGATGAAGAGAGTTCTAGGACTTCTAGCGTAATGTTGTCAGTCGTTCCCTCGTCGTTGTTTGCCTTTGCATCAAACAAGCAATCCTACGCGCGGTAGACACAAGTTTTCACAAAATTATGACAAAACTCATGGAGGCTGCCGTAGTATTTTGACTGTGTGGGATGTGAATTGCAAATTACGATTATATCGCAGTAAAGGAGTATCAATATTATGAACTGATAGATTAGCATTTCAAAAAATTTCAAGATGCTGAGCGCAACTATCTACGCCTCTACCTGAGGATGGATCGCGCCGACGAAGCCGCGCAGTGCATCCCAAAGGCGGCCAGCATCTTCCCTGTGAACCATATGATCATGCATCTTTATGGTGAGTAGTGTGAACCATCAGATCATGTTTATGGTGAGTAGCGTGATGATGATGAGTAGCGTGATGGTGGTGAGTAGCGTGATGATGATGAGTAGCGTAATGGTGGTGAGTAGCGTGATGATGGTGAGCAGCGTGATGATGATGAGTAGCGTGATGATGGTGAGTAGCGTGATGATGATGAGTAGCGTGATGATGGTGAGTAGCGTGATGATGATGAGTAGTGTGATGATGGTGAGTAGCGGGATGATGATGAGTAGCGTGATGATGGTGAGTAGCGTAATGGTGGTGAGTAGCGTGATGATGATGAATAGCGTGATGATGGTGAGTAGCGTGATGGTGGTGAGCAGCGTGATGATGGTGAGTAGCGTGATGATGGTGAGTAGCGTGATGATGGTGTGCAGTGTGATGATGGGGTAGTGCGCGGTCACTTATGGTGCAGTGAGCGGCAACTAATAGTGCATAAGAAGCAAGAATTAGTAAGAAATTATCAGATACAATTTTTGGAAACGTAAATAGTGACCTCGTAAATTATAGTCAACACGATTTACTTAGTTCTAACAGGTTAACTTCACCAAAGTATAGCTAGGCTGTTACATTGTTGTACGTCTATGTATGGGACTGTGGAATAAATCGCGTAACTATCTAATAATTGCCAGCAGTTATTCATGTACGAATATATATTATATATATAGCTCAATAATATTGAGCTCTAGTGCAGTGATTTCCAAACATTAGCTCACGACCTCCACAGGTGGCCGCACGAGTCTTGACATAAACCTATTATTGAATATTTCGAACGAAGATTTTCAAACTGGGAAATAAACAAACTCAACTCTTACGTCTATGTCAACAAGCAGTCTTTTAATTGATTCTGTAGCTTTGAGATCGTAGAGAACATATCTACCCATGGTAGAACACATCTTCAACCATGCATCTACCACTACCAGGCTGAGCACAAGTGGAATAACTTGCCTTTGAATTAGCTAGGCATTTTTTTTAATTGAATTTTTAGCTCACTCTCGTCACCCGGTGATAAAGGTGGGCAAAGAGTCGGGGTAAATGTATCGGTAAGGCCAAGCCGGGCCTTGCTCATCCAACTGCCAATTTACCGAGCGCTATTGCTTTGAGCACTTGTGGGGATATGTAGAGAACCGCGAGGCTTCGGCAGTCAAGGCTCTTCCATTTAGTTCCATAAGAGTTTTTTTAAGAAATTAGGCCGAACTTTACTCCACTGGTAAATAAGAACACAGAAGTTGTGTTGCCAAGTTATGTTTTCTTTGAAGAAGAATAACTGTTAGGATAAGAAACAGTGGGTCACCTAGTTGTGTGATGTGTCAGCCAGTGACCAGTGTGTGTAACGAAGTTTGTCAGAACAGTCGCTTATATCACGTCTTTATTCCACTGCTATAGATGCCAAATATTCATATATGTTTCTCAATTTAAATCATGAAATCAAAATTTAAAAACAATGTTGAGCAGTTTCAAATGAATTAAGAGTTCCGAATTATTCTGATATAAGTTTGAGTTCCGAATTTTCAGGAACTCAAGACGTGATTCAAGTACGTAGGTGATGTGAAAACTGAAAATTGTAGGTCCGTTCCGTTGCGCAATCGCAATGGTGGATTGTGAGGATGAATTTTTCTTTGAAGAAGATAAACTGTAAGAATACTAAAATCAATTTATTTTATTTGGTACTGTTAGTTTCATATGGTTGCCTTATTAATTACTCTTTCATTTCTATGTTTTACCTAACTATTTAGTCTATTACTATTAGTAACAGGTACCTAACTAATGACACTAAAGCTAGTAGCGAGTAGTAGACCTAGTACCTATTCAAGTTGTCAACTTGTCACTGCAAGCACCATAATCCATATCAGCAGGCTCTGTCTCTTATACACATCTAGATGTGTATAAGAGACAGGTATATAGTCATGTCCTATTGTCCTGGGGCCGAATTATTCAAATGTTTAATGCAGTCTGTTAGTTCTGAATATGAAAAGTTGCCATTATAGGGGAGTTGAGAGTCATCCATCAGGGCCACTGTTACTGGCAAGAGAAATGGAGCCCCATTTAGGCGCAGTTGCTGTGTAGCAATTAAGGTGGCATATTCTGCTGCAATGACACTGGCTTTTCTTTCTGAGTCTGTTATAACTTCATTTCCCACCATGATTGGTGATGCTTGTCGGCCACGTCCTTTATTAGATAATTTGCTAATTTTCTTCCATATTGTTGTCACTGGTGTGTCCTTATTTATAGTTGAACAAAACTCCTGGAATGATNGCGCACGCCTGGGCGCTGCACATCCACTGCTGGCTGACCATCGCACGCCTCTACCTGAGGTGAGGCGCACGCCTGGGCGCTGCACATCCACTGCTGGCTGACCATCGCACGCCTCTACCTGAGGTGAGACGCACGCCTGGGCGCTGCACATCCACTGCTGGCTGACCATCGCACGCCTCTACCTGAGGTGAGGCGTACGCCTGGGCGCTGCAACTAGTGGCTGTAATGTAACTATGATGGGAATAAATTACTTCAAATTTGTAATTAGGAGCGAGGCGACGAGATTTGTGGAGCTGTTCTGCACAAATTTCGTGCGTTCTGTGCGTGTCACTCACCACGCCGTGCGTGTCACTCACCACGCCGTGCGTGTCACTCACCACGCATGCATTCTAAAGGCTTTTAAATAAATATGGCAACATTTTGTGACGTTTCGTCATTGCTGACACGTAGTGTGGTGTTTTGAGAGTCACATAAAGCAAACAGAACTTGAGTAATGCATACGTTTTTTTTATAGTTTTTCATTTCTCAATGCATCCTTAATGTGACGGAATATACCGCGTTTACTCTAATACCCTGTCTTGCGGAAATGGCTGTCATTTTTTTTTTTGATTGAGGTACACAAATTCTGCCAATAAACTTGATGCTAATAACACCTGTATGGAATTTTTTTAGCTAAATTTGTTAGTATGGCAAATAGGCCCATTTATTTTAGGTACTACAGAGTACCTACAGACCTTAGCAGAAGTGCTTTTTCAAAATATCATTTTTACCAATTATTTCAGGGATTTTTTAGAGCTAGTAACTACTATTTTACATTACTATTTTTAATTTTGCAATGTTCTAATTACTTTTGCTGCTATAACATTCTAGGCTAATGCCATGATCATGATGGAGCATGGAGGACTGTCCTGATTTACCCCTACTTCCTACTTCCTGTTCCTAGTACCTTATTATTTCCCCATTTGAAGGTAGTAAGGCATTGCAAATCTTGGAGGAGAGGATTATGTCAATATTAAAAATTTGATTTCTAAATTGATTAATACATATAAATTTTTTCCATATATTGAAACAAGTTGAGTGGGATTTCAGTCTTCTATGGAAAATTTTCAAATATGTACCCACTAACTGACTAGGCACTCCTTCATTTAACACACATTTGCTTAATTATTATTATTGAGATTTGGAGTATAGTGGAATTCTTTAATTGCATGGATTATTGATCCTGAACAACACTCAAGCTAACATGCTATGATGCTAGTTGTAGATATGTATGAAAGCATGAGTATATATGTATATACATGTATCTAATTCATGATTGCGAATAAAAAATATAGAACACATTTTTTGTGGTCTATAAAATAAAACCTTTTAGTTTTGCTTTACTTTGAAAAATTAATTAAATATCAACTATATATAAATATATTTATGTGTATCTTTTTATAATTCGTGTGATATTTTGTCTGATGTTGAAAACAAAATATTAATTAATATGTTGAACAAAGCTTTTATAGGTGCGTGTTATCAGCTCAGAAGACACATCCTCAAGGTACCTGATAAGGCTTCCTGTCTCTAGAGTCTAGCCTCTCTTAGTTCAGGTCTTTGTGGCAGACAATAAATATTTTCCTGCTGGATTGTTTCCATCTTCTGGGCTTCTCAAAGATTTTATTCAATATCAAATGAATGACAATGGTGGTATCCATGATACTGGACTTGTGTACTTATAAGATTACAACTTATTAAAAATTTTCATTAAGGAACATCAACGGTAATGTTTCATATGTATATAGGTATATGCCTTAGAGACCAGGGGCCATACTTTCAAAACTCGCTAAGTGAACGTAATTACTTACGCTCTATTTTCTTGTCTATGATTGGTGGATTTTGCTTGAAAGGCCGTCAATAATTGGCTGATGAACTTACGATCTCTTAACTTTTTTTGAAAGTATAGACCTAGGTTACTAAAAGCACTGGCAGCAGCTCTTAGTTTATACTCTGTTGATTTTTTTGTAATGTTTGTGATTGATCATTTTCATTTAAATATATTGCCCTGGAAACAGACTGTCTAAGACATAAAATGTGAAGTTAAATACTATGTGATATTTTACAGATTATAGCCTTTTCACAAAAATGAAAGTGTTCCACATCTGCATTTAAAATAAATATGATTCTATGAAATTTCTACTGAATTCTCTGATTTTTATTGTTTAAAACGTGTTGTTGTTATTGTGTTATTGTGTTGTGTTGTTATTGTGTTGTGTGTAACATGTGGGGAGGATTACCTTTAGGGCCACCTGAGTATCAAGAACATTTTTATAACCACACGGATGAAGAAGCCCTTGACATGCCTAACTTGATTCGTAGACCAACCTCACCATATTACAGCTTCGAGGATAAGTTGTATGTATTATTTTGTTCTTGTCAGTTATTTAAATTATTTTCATGCTTTTCATTGCTACTATTCTCACTCTGCCTCATCATTCCATTGATACTATTGCTTTTTATTTTTAACCAAACATCAGAGCAGCTATCACCATCCATATTGTTAGGCTTGTTTAAATTAATTGATTGGCTGTGAATTTATTTTGATCACTCACTAACAGGACAGGAAATATAAGCTCACACTGACATTAATTTGCCTTTACAATGATGCTATGTTTACTGCCAGAGTAGAATTTCTGACCCATTCTCAAAGTGTGGAAGTGTGCATTGTGTTTCAGTTGATGTAGATGCCAATGGTGGATTTTAAAAATTTGCATGTGGCACAAAGTCAACAGTTGAATAAAGACACTTTATTTAGTATTGACCTGAATAAAGTTCATTTTGTATTGCTAATGCTGCTAAGTTAACACATAGCTTCTGCTTGTTCAACAATTTTCACTGTTCTATATATTTTTTTTAAAGTAGGATTAAAGTCAACTAGCAATTATTATATTGCATTAACCAAGATATCCCTGAACAATGTGCTTACTGTTTCATTATGTGCATTAAAACATGACTAAGCAGTTAACATCTAAAAGGAAATGGAAATCTATTTTCAATTCTTGATTTTCAGTCTTTTTTTGCTCCAGATTGTGTCTCACTTTATTGTTAATTTGCATTATTAATTCAGAAAGACATTTTTAAGGTTAATTCAACAATATTTTTTTGTAATTTTCTTTGGGGTGCTTCATTAGGGACATAATTTTCCACTATATTCTTAAATGTATGAAACAATTGAGCTGACTTATTAATAAAAGTGAATACCTTAGCATTTTCTTGGTTGTCTAAGTACAATTGAAATGTAGAGATTATTAATTGTACCTATTCTATTTATTTTTGATGTCCCATCCTCTTCATTTGGCTACAATATGAAAAGAAATCCCTTTGATTACCATGTTACATGAATGCAGCTTTTCATATTGCGTAGCAGAATAGCTTCTGGGTTCACATCTGCTCAGCAGCATCACAGCTTATGCTGTTTATTCAGGACGGGGCCGACGGGCAGTAAAAGATCCATTGATGCATCACTCTTGGTGGCACTCTTGAATGTCTTGAAGTTACAATTGGCAATGAGAATGTGAAGTTGTTGTATACATGGGCATTGAGGTAATCCATCAGATCACCAGACTAGTAAATGTTAGGGTTTGTAGTTATCTATTTTCCTAATTTAAGAATTATGCTATGATACTAAAGGAAGATTTTCTACATAAAAAAATTTCCTTCCTCAATTTCCACTACCATACAACAAAGCAAAGGAATTTGTTTCTTATCAGACCATTCTTTTTCCACAGAAAGGGGCTGCATTTTTTAAACATAGCCACATCACAATGTGTGTTGTTTGTCAAACTCCACTGTTAACCAAAACATTATATAGGTACCTGCTTGGAAAGCCTTGCCATCTGCTGTGTCAGCCCATGAATTGTATTTTGAAGCACTAGGTAGTGTGCTGCACTTGATTGTATCAGATAGGAATTTCTCTATATTTGGTAGAAATTATCAATTTGATGCAGATTAATGTAACAATGTATTTCCTGTTTGAAGTGTTTTGTCAGAAATTATTCATTGAATTTGTTATTGTTTCAGAGGAATGACTCTGACTGCTGGCAGCGTAACCCTTAAGAAGAATGATGGCAATCTTATTGGAATCAGCATTGGTGGAGGTGGCAAGTACTGCCCATGCCTCTATGTTGTTCAGGTAAACATGCGTTCTCTTTTTAGCCCATTTTCTCATTTACGGTATGGGAGAAATGCATTTTTGTTCTGGTCATGTCTGTCCATCCGTGACTACACATTTTTGCTGATAAGAAAATGCACTCTCTGTCACTCACTGCAGTGAGTACTGAGTTATATACCTATATATATTTTTTATGTCAACCTCATTCATGTACAGATACACATGTTAATTTTTCTCATGAAGTTATCTGTTCTTATAAGCAGTTGCAAGCTCATGAAAAGATGAAACTTTCACTAATTTTAAGTCAACTTCAGTAAATGATGCACATATAAGGGGATATTTTGGGTCAGAAATAAAAAATTTTAGCTTTTCAGTGTTTTAGACTCATTTTGTAGCTGCTGAGAAGGCGTGTCTAACACAGCAAACCGCATATCTGTGCGTGCTCTAGTTTTTGTGTAAAGCAATTTCAAAATTATATGTAATGAACATTTTTTAACAATATGTATATGTGAAGTTGTTGTATACATAGGCATTGAGGTAAACCATCAGAACACCAGACTAGTAAATGTTGTGGTTTGTAGTTATGTATTTGAATTAAATCTCTACTCTAGATCATTATTCTCATTGGTTTCAAAGTGTTTGCACTCATTTGAAAGCTACAAACAAGATGTGTTCAAAAAAGCAAACACCATGGATGTGCGCACAATAGTTTTTGTGTAAGGCTGTTTTGAACTTTTATGAAATGACCATTTTATAACAATGTTTACAAATTTACAATTATAAAATACTATTCATATATCATTATTTTTGTTAATTGCAAAGTGATTGCACTTTTTGAAAGCAACAAACAAGACACGTTAAGCAAAGATTATGTATGTACATGCAATAATTTTTGCACAAGGCCGTTATATATAAATATCACAAAAATCACATTTATAGCTTATTATTCCTGTTAAACTGGACAAGAATAAGTCTAAAGACGCGTGCTGGTACCATAAGTACAACTAGTTGGCAATGGGAAAGCTTGGGCTACAATATCAAGCAATATTTTGGCATATTCTTTTTTTTTCAATAAATCTTACGTATTTGACTCCCCTGAATAATTAAAATTTTGAAAATGCGCCATCTTTAAAATCTATCTCCTCTTATGATTTTAATGCTACAGCATTGAGAGGTAGACCATTTGATTTGTAAAAACAATATCTACGGATCCCCCGATAATTAATTTTTTTTATTTTGTAATAGATTTATTACCTATATATTGAAAAACGGGGGATTGGAGGGGGGGGAATTTTTTTTTAATCCCCCTTCCACAAAACAAATGTGAATTTGGAAAAAAAATTATCAGGGAATCGCTAGATATGGTCTTTAGAAATCAAATGATATGTCTTTCAATGTTGTAGCATTTTAATAGAAGGAGGAGATCGAATTATACAGGACACCCGTTTTGCCATTTTCTATTAATTTTACGTTTTCATTTATTTTTTTTGAAAAATTTGCACAAACAAAAAGTTTCTGGATTTATGTTTTCCATATGTGTACTAAGTTTCAAAATGATCCGTCGGTAAATAAAAGTTTTTTTCTTTTGACCCAGATGATCCCCTTAAGACTCTGGCAAATACTGTATCTTTTTCATAAATTTGCTCAAGGGCCTGCACTAAACACTAATGCACTTCAGGTGTTTGACAACACAGCAGCATCACAAGATGGCACGCTGCAGAGCGGAGATGAGATCACTGGAGTTAATTCACACAATGTGAAGGGCAAAAGCAAGACGGAAGTTGCTCAACTCATACAACGCTCCCAGGTCTTGTACATTTATTTCCTTTCTATTTGTCATAGTTGAGACTTGAGCAAGTATATAGGCTTCTATGGTTTGCATTCTTTTTACTTGATGCTGATATTCAGGCATAGGTTACAATTTATTCTTAACAAGTAATCAATCAATTCCGTTTCATCTCCCTTACTTTGACTTAGGCCATTTTTATCCTATTTGTCATTATTACCATGATTTTCTCAGATGAAACTATTAACCCAGCAATTATGTTATTTCGTCTATAGAACTTGCTTACTTTCTCCATTCAGGGGTCAGTGACGATTCACTACAACAAGCTACACCCTGACCCGAAGCAAGGCAAGTCTCTGGACATCGTCCTGAAGAAAGTGAAGCACCGTCTCGTAGAGTCCATGTCGTCCTCCACAGCTGATGCCTTCGGGCTGTCCCGGGCCATCCTCTGCAATGACGCGCTCGTCAAGAAGCTTGAAGATCTCGATAAGGCGGAGGAAATGTACAGGGCTCTCATTGATCATGCTAAGCTCGTTTTCAAGGCTTTCTTCGATCTCATTCAAGTCTTCAAGAGTGAGTTTGTTGTGGTCTTTAAATAATGATGCAAGGTTTTTAAGCACTCTGTCGTGTTCACAATCAAATGAGTCGTTATGTGCTCTGTAGCGGTGATAGCAATCATATGGTAACAGTTTGTCATTAAGTCATTGTTCATTGATCAAACGCCCATCATAATTGCTGTTGATGTGAAACCAAAATTTTAGGAAGTGAGTCTTAATTTCCTATTTTGAGTAACATGATTATTGCATTGCATGGGTCCTACCTAAATTTAAAACAAGCCTGTAGAGATGAAAAACAAATCAATGGAGGAAACTCAAATTTTAACATAAATGTCTTTGGAGTCTTTAACCAATTAGTGCTCATAATGTGAGCTAACAAATTCTTTATATTTTCGATGATTTCTTTTGAATATGTAATGCTGACTGCATCAATGAGAGTTAACTATTATGATACACTTACAGTAGACTCTAATTTTACCAGACCCGTCAAACTGTATTGTTAATCTAGTTGTGCTTATGATGTCTCATGTGAATCACTAAAAGTTCCATAATATGCGATTCATGAACGTTTATTTATCTCCAGATTTTGGTGACATTTTTTGCCGCATTGGTGTGCGAGAAATCCAGCAGTCGGCCAACGAGGCTTTCAACCAGTTTGGCGAGGCCCATCGCATGATGGAGAAGTACGGCATCCAGATGCTCAAGAGACTCAAGCCGGTACCTTTGATCTTGATCCCTGAACATGTCCTAGAAATTTCTTCTTTAAGATGGATGTATTGGCGCATTCAACTGTTTCTATAGATAATAACTTTATGATATTGACCCACAGATCCTTGGTGATCTCGGCACCTACTTGCACAAGGCAATCCCCGACACTCGTCTCACGATCAAGCGTTACGCCGACATAAAGTTTGAGTATTTAAGCTACTGCCTTAAAGTCAAGGAGATGGACGATGAGGAGATACAATTTGCCCAGCTGCAGGAGCCGCTCTACAGGGTCGAAACGGGCAACTATGAGTACCGGTGAGCAAAGTAATGGAGAGAACGTTTAGGCTATATTTTAATTTGTATATTTTAGCTCTAAGATGGAGAGATTTTTTCCGGAGGCGGGGGGCGTTGATTTTGCGATACTAGTTGAACAACATTAACCCTCTACCGCCGGATGTCGCTCTCCGGGAACATAACGACTGTAGCAACCTGAGGACGTTTGTATGCAACAGAGAACATTTTGAAGTTGTATGTGGCGACAACCATCAGTGCAAGTCTTTTTGCGCTCTCTAGCAACATCCCTTTTTTAGGTAGGCTTGTGACAATATTGCTTCGATTACTCATGTCAGGTGGTAGAAGGTTAATTAGCGTGACTTTTTAGTTAATAAGACAAATGCTGTAGTACAGCATGCTCCTGCTGATATTGGTTCATGATGATTCGTTTAAAAGTTGTAAAATTTTAGTTTTGCACTATTTATCCGGCTATTTGCCTATGTATCTCCTGGTGAAACTTCATTTTTGCTAACGCAAGTGACGGTTCACTACCAGCTTGATCCTGCGTTGTCGACAAGAAGCGCGTTCTGGGTTCGCGCGGCTGCGGTCTGACGTGCTGGTGAAGCTGGAGCTGCTGGACTCGAAGCACGTGCAGCACCTGACGACGCAGCTCACGAGGCTGGTGAGCCTGCTGGCTTCGTACCACACGCAGTGCCAGCAGCTCATGCACGACAAGCACTGGTTCCCTATAGAGCTCGACCTCGCGGGCACCACGCTCTACAACGCCCAAGACACCTACGAGGATGAGGACGAGGCAAGATATTCTTATGGTTTCTCATGCTCTGCTAAAGACGAACCTGCTAAAATGAAAAGTCGCGGTGTTGTCTCTTATGGAAAGTCTAGGTGGTGTCTTGATATCTCAGAGTTTGGATGCACGGAAAGATATAAGTATGGGAGCGGGAGTATATAGTCGTTTAAAAGGCCATTGTTCTGGTCTGAGTGCTGCACGGGGCCTTACAAGCGAGCTTCACGGCGAGGTCAGTTTGAGAATTTTGCCCTCGACTCGATGAGGTATCAAATTACAATGAAGAGTTTGAAGGATCTTGATACGAAATAGATGCGCCTGCAGGAGCAAAAGACGAGGGCCTTTGAAGCTACTCTCAGATAATAAATCTCTCCCGCTGTGCCCTAACCCAAGTCAGTTTGCGTGTAGGTTAGTAAGGAAATATCAACATTGTGGATAAAACTCTGCACTGCTAAGTTTTATTTCCGCTATAATTACTGTCGTAGCGATTTTCCATTATCTAAATACTTATCCGAATGTATTTTTTTCGTAACAAGTACACATTTTTAGGAACCCACTGAGGGCGATGAGGCTCTTCTTGATGCGGTGGAGGCGGTAGAAGGCAGTGAAGGAAACTTGCTCGGCGATGACGGCAGCAGCCTGCCAAAGATCAGCGACCAGCTGTTGAGCAACGAACAGCTTCTGAGCAACGAACAGCTTCTGAGCAACGAACAGCTGCTCAGCAACGAACAGCTGCTGAGCAGAGTGCAGGGGCTTGATCTCAGTGACGACGCTGGCCTCTGCAGCGACGCTCTGCTGACGCCTCTGGGCGGGGGTGAGTTCCGGAGTGAAATCGTACCGCAGTTCCTCGAGGGTACGCATCGCAAACCTTTGCACCTGACAAGATCCCACGTACAGTGGAAGTGAATTGCAAAATAGTACGTAATTTGCCCTTTTGTCGAAAGAGAGCCAAGTGATAAACGTTCCCTTGATTACCTCGACTATCAATCTGCCCGGTTATTCATAATCCCTAAATTTTGTTATGAGAATAATAAGCAAATAATGCTTATAGGTTTCTATTATATATGCGTTTAAAGGTTTGTGTTCGTTCTATGAACTGCGGTATAAATATATTTAGGAGGCGTTTGATCACTTATCCACGATACGTACCTATTCTGTCAGGATCGTAAAAGAGAGTTGAATCACACTTCCAATGATAGATGTGATTTGTAACGGGTCCTTAATTATTACCATTACTTTGGTTTAAACATTATTGACGGGATTTTCCGGAACGGGATTCTCAGGTACCAATACTTTTTGCTCCCAAACAATGGCGGGTTAAGGTGCTCTGAAGAAGTAATAAGCTTTTTATCTTGTATATATTGTTCATGGTTTGTATGTGTTTGAAGCCTGGCACCGTTAGTATGTATATTGGGGTTGTCGGGGCGCTGTAGCCTTCATCGTGTCGGGATATTGCCCGGACCCAAAATTTCATCTTCAGTGGGAGAAAAGTAAGGCATAGCAAAAGTCGAAGGTGAAGGTTGTCTTTAGAATAAAAATTGGCTTTCTATCTTGGTTCATACATTAAATTAAGAAGAAACTTGTAAAAATCTCGCATTTTGTAACAGAGTCTAATGGAAGTTCTGTGTCAAATGTAAAACTGGAGTTCAAACAGACCTTTCTTGAATTAGTTTACATCAATTCCTTTCTTTTTAACAGATTCGTGATAACGATATTCTAAAATTGTATAAATTGTCAATCCCGGTAAATATCGTGCTAACCTGTTTGTAATTTATGAAGTAGTTACAGTTTAACCAGGCGTTTAAAAAACCTAATAAAAAAATTCACATTTGAAAATCCTGCTACCCTCCCTGCTTATCAAATCCTCTTCGCTGCTATTGTAATAGCGTTCAAACCGGTCATGTATTTGAATTCATTCAAACTGTATTCATAATAGATTTAATTTGAGTTGAGATATAATTTTATATTCCTCCCTCTTTTCTGATGTCAAAATATGACGAAATTTTAGGCCCAGGTAATATCCTGATATGTTTTGTGCGCACGCGTTCGAATAGACCCTGTATATTTCCAGTGTAAAGCTTCAACCACATTCACAGCTTCAAACTACCTAAAATATTTATTACATTGATTTCTTCAAATGTTCACTGGTAGGAACAGTAAGAAGTAATAAATATTTTAGGTAGTTTGAAGCTGTGAATGTGGTTGAAGCTTTACACTGGAAATATACGGGGTATACTACCTAAAATATTTATTACATTGATTTCTTCAAATGTTCATTGGTAGGAACAGTAAGAAGTTTCATAACATAAACTTTATTTATTTGGAAGCCAACACTTGAGTATTCATGATGACCTCGTTAGTAGTCAATTTGTATAAACGTTACAACATCCACAGGGCAGGACGCTAGTGTGAGCCAAGCACCTTGGATGCAGACCGCGATGTCAGGACAACAGCCCCAGGCCTTCATGTCCGCCCCCAGCAGTCAGGCCATGTTGACCAATAACGCATCTCTTCCGCCCCAGCAAAACGTTGTTGCTCCGGCACCTGGCGTCTTGCTTCCACCAGCGATGCACTCAACCGAAACTTGGGACAACGTGCAGCAGTTGTCATCAATAGTGTCGTCACTCCCACCTGGGTCCGGACGATCGGACGGCAACAAGGTTCAGCATCAAGTTACGGAATTATCCAGTTCCCAGCATCAGCTTGCTGGACTTCCTAGTTCTCAGCTGCATGCAACAGGGCATCCAAGCTCGCACAAGAGTGCTGGATTATCTCAGTTGTCCCAGGAGCTCGCTGGCTTGACAGCCCAGAATGTCGACTGCTTCATGTCTCCGGAAAAAAAATCTGCTGAAGCTGACGGAATTTTTTGGCCGGCGTCTGATTACTCTGAGTTGTCGTCGTTCGTGTCGAGCGCCACTGAGGACCTGAGATCTCAGAGGCCGAGTGCTGGCACTCAAGATCCTCATGATAATCTCGAGGACGTCAATTTATTGGATGCTTTTTGAATTATGGAGGTTATTGGGCTTGGATTTACCTTTACCTTGGAGTGGGTTCGCTTGATCTTAACTGCTTTGTGTTTGTTGTGCTAGAATTTGTTTTGATTTATTAAAAAAAAATGTTTTTAGCCCGATTTCAATGCTTGCAGTCTTCGAAAATAATGACTTGTTAACTACGCAAAGATTTCTGAGTAGGTACTTATTGTTACTTACTCGATACTGACAAAGTCCGGATGTTACCCTATCTTTTACACTGTAGCACCTCAACATTAATGTGTACGCACCAATCTTACATTCGAATGTTATTTGAGCCATGTTGAGACGAGAAATCATAAATGGTCAGATTTTTCTCCTTATAATGTACCATATTATAAAGGATAATTATATTATGCATTGTTAACATTCCGCAGTTCTAACAATACTAACTTTAATTTTCTCTTCTGTTTTCCTTTAAGCACGGACTTTTTGTTCTATAAAGGAGCTTCTTTTCTACCATTTGACTTTTCGTAGTCAGGTTGTCTTCGGCAACCTTCTCTTTGCTACCGAGTCTTCTTTAATTTAAAGCAATTTTTAATGTAAACCAAGTTTTTAATTTAAAGCAATTTTTTTACTCAAAGCCGTTTTTACTACTTTTTGACTACATTGTAGTCCATCAAATTTTCTACACGTCACATGACCTTCTACAGTGTTATTTCTACGTAAACATTCCTAATCCAGTATATTTCTATGAGATGTATGGCATATTTTTCTAGTCAAGCAATATTCATGACATCTTCATAGCGCGTTAGAATAATTAATAAGTTCGAATCAATTGCTTCCCTACTCCTCGCTGTTATCACGAGGGTGTCTAGTCATTGCATTGTAGAATTTATTGAGTATGTGATCCTAGGTATATGTTACTTGGGTTCCTTTATTTTATGCCAGGATCTAATTTCTAGCTCCACTTCAGTTCTAGTCTCTTCCAACTGAACCGAAGTGGTGGGTCGAACTATGCCAAGTCTGCTGCAGAGATGTGCCCCTAGTCAGCTGCAGAGATGCGCCCCTAGTCAGCTGCAGAGATGCGCCCCTAGTCTGCTGCAGAGATGCGCGTCTTGTCAGCTGAATGCTCAACACAATTTGACGATCCACCAACACTATTAAAATTTGCCACTGCTACAATTCCTGGCATGTTGAGTCGGAAATAGGAACGTGTTTGTTCATCGTGCGAAGTGTATCACTAGAGACGAGGCATCATACGTAATGTGCTGCACCTCTTACGACGTGCATCACTAGAGACGATGTATATACTGCACGTTTGTATTGTACCTATTACGACGTACAGTCAAACGAAGCATTCGTCTCTATTGTCTGTATGGTATTCTTGGTGCTAATGAGTTCATGCGTATTGAACCCATTTCTTGAGCTTCATTACGTGGCATCAATTCTGTTCAAACCTGCCGCTTAGTCAGCGAACAACGGCAGATAATTGTTTAGTTCGAGTCAACCGCATTATTTATTGGTTCTCTTCGTTGCTTTGTTCTACTTGCATTGTGTGTTGTTTCACATTGTCATCTTAAGGAGTTTTACTATTTCTTGTGTTATTCTATGAAATTCCTGCAATGTGTATTATTTCAAAATGGCTTACAAGCATGTGAACCCAAAGTAGGAGCTTGTGTGAAGTTGTCGTCGTAAAGCGCAAAGCAGAAGAAATTTCGACGATAATTTCAGCCTGATTTCCAGGGTTACTAGTCGTATTTCAGATTAAGATTTCATCTTGTGTTTGATTTCATCAATTTGTTAATTATATCTTTTATATCGACGTATGTTTGTTTTTATTATTATGTGTTTTCCGTCGTGTTTTCAGTTTGAACAAAATGCATATACTCCGTAAGACTTGTTTTATTATTCACAATTCGCTAGTAGATTATCTTCCATGAAACGCGGTGACCGCATCCGAAATTCTCGAACGATGTGTTCTCGAGACGATTTACGAGACGCAGCACGACAAGCCATGCAAGGAACAAGATTTGGAGTTGCCCTTTGAGATGCCCAACTTAACTGCTCGCTGGATATTCAAATCTTATTTCTAAACACTAATCAACTTCTTGACGTCAGAACACAGCTTAAAATCGCTTCGTGGTCCAGCATATATATTAATAATTAAATTCTGGATTATTTTTTAACATGCAGTGCTGCATGTTTATTCTACTCCTTGGTAAAGTTCCGCGGAATTTCGCTCCTTTAAAGTTGAATGAAAAATTGGACAAATTTTTCATGAACGCATGACGCTTATATTTATTGATGTATTCAAACCGTTTACCTCTCGTAAGTATTGTTAGCTAATCATTCTTATTTCACTTTTTTCCGTCTCCATTGCGCATAAGCGCTGGCTGTGACTCTCTCAAAGCTTCAGAGTTCCTTGTTGCGGTCACGAAACCTCCTTCAATTTCCGACATATTTGCTCGATTTACCCAATTTTGACATGAGTATATGATCATTGCCGTATTAGTTCTGTATGTCATTCCATGTTCTTGATATGATTGCTCATTCTTGACACGATTGTCTTCCCGTGTCATCTCGCCCGTGTCGTTGCGTGTCTCCATAAGACCAGAAGCTGTGGTCTCAGATTCAACCACGGCCAAGCTGCTCGTGTGGATAGTCCAGACCAACTGATATGAGATAATGCTCATATAATGACGTCCTGGCTCTCTAATAACTCAAAATGAACTTTCCTTGGATAAATGAGCTCTTGTGGGAACCTAGACTCGACCACCTATCTTTATTAGTCTTTCATATGACGAGAGTTAACTGAGAGGCTCCCGGGCGGTGACTTCAATGTTAAACACGCGACTTGGAGTAATCGTGGGAGCAGCCGACGGGAAAGAGCCAGTGAGCAATTCTTTACCGATTCCGACATGTGTGTTTTCTGAACACAATCAAAGTCACTCACTTGCACAAACAGACGTAGACCACATCTGCTATTGACCTGAGTCTCTTCACCTCTGATATCGTGGGCAAGGTTGTAGTGACTCGCATTCACACCTCGCACAAGCATTCCTCTTGAATGTCATAATTAATTTTATTAAACCTTTAAACTCATGATTATCGACCTCTGTAACAATATCTTACTTAATTATCTTGATCTCGATTACTTAATTCGGATTTTATCAATTTAATTATTATACCATTATAAAAATATACCGTTAGTTAATCATCAATTCTGAGCACTAATAACACTAGTGTAACTCCTGAATGATAAAAAGTTTAGTAAATGTCGATATTATTTTATGTTAAATCGTACAAAAAAATATATATTGTGAAATTTCAGTGGTTATAGTGGACGATACTCGTGGTTTCCGAACGAGGAATTCTTGATAGAATATCCTCATTCTTAACAAAGTTTTTCATTCTTTGAAAAGATTGTGGTATTTTGTATTCGTATACTCATTTTTGAAGAGATTGCTCATTCTTGATTAGATTCCTCATTCTCTACAAAATTCCTTATTTTAACAAGATTCCTCATTCCTGACAAGAATGCACTTTCTTAACAAGATATCTCAGTTTTTACATGAATGCATATTCTTTTTAAAAATTTTCATTCGTGACTAGATTGCTCATTCCTGATAGTATTCCTCACTCTTTACAAGATCACTCATTCTTGACAAGGCTGATCATTCTTGTCATGTCGAATAGCCGCTCACGCGCCCCGACTTCCGCCGTATCCATGACAACAGCATCCGGTCGTATCACTGATACGCAAACGCGGCCAACAGCCTGCCGCTAATAACACTTGGCGACGGAGAGGCTGTCACAGATCTCAGACGAATTTACGTGGCAGAGCGTTCAAAAGATTAACTTTCATATAAAGGTAACGCTTTGCTCGTGATATATCAATCATCGTCAATGCTATTCATATACACGGGCTCAGATACTAGAGTTACTGCTGGTTACTAACTGGCGGATCTATATTAAGCTCATATTGCCGCCACCAGTGAGTGTCTCAGCACATAACTATAATGAATCTTGTTTAACTATTTTACGTTTCTGAGACTAAAGAGTAAACCAGGACAACAAAACACCGAAATTGTACAATGTGTCAACTGTGCAAAACTAACGGGATCGTTAGTCGAACGTAAACAATATCACGGATAACAACGATACATTCTCTCTAGTATATAACAAGTTAACTAAAGTTTTGGTATTAATCCTGAGATTCTTCTACCCCTGTATAACTGTTTATTTCTCGATCAATTCATCCGTCGAAGATCTGATAGGTCAAATATAGATCGCTCTTGCTCTTCTTGAAGGAGCTCAAATGGCCGGCAGTGCTGTGGTGCAGGTGACGTCCGCGCAGCAGCAAGGAGGCGAGTCTGACCACCGCGGCGAGGGCGAAGCCGGAAAAGCCACGACACAAGATGACCTCAGCGAAACGCGCACGAGGGAGAAGAGCCAAAAGAAAAAAGCTAAGCAGAAGAATTCCAAAACCTCAACTGGTGGGAGAGGTCAGTGAACCATTCAACTCGTATCGTACAAAAAGTATTAAGCGTAGGTATGCAGATATATTAGAGAACTCATTTATTTCTCTCGGACGATCTAAGCCCTGCCATCTAACGTTCGGGCGTCAAGTAGAAGCCCTGCCATCTAACATTCATTCGCTTGGCTGAAGCACAGCCATCTAACTAATTTTCGAGTTCAGGCCGAAGCACTACCATCTAACTAACGTTTATGCGGCAGGCAGATGCGCTGTCGTGTAACTAACGCTAGTATGTCTGGTAGAAGAACTACCATAGAAATAGCGTTAATGCGTCTAGCAGAAGCCCTGCTTTCGAACTAACGTTTAAGCTTCAGGCTGAAGCACGGCCTTTTAACTACCGTTTATGCGTCAGGCAGAGGCGTTGCCGTCTAACTAATGTACATGCGTCAGGCAGAATCGCAGCCATCTAACTAAGGTTCATGCGTCATTCAGAAGCGCTGCCCTCTAACGTTCATGCATTAGGCAGAAATACTGTCATCTAATTAGTGTTCGTGCGTCTGGCAGAAGCGCTGCCATCTGAATAACGTTCGTGCGGCAAGCAGGAGTGGTCCCATCAAAATAACGTTCGTGTGTCAGGCAGAAGCACTGCCATCTAACTAACGTTCGTGCGCCAGGCAGAAGCACTGCCATCTGACTAACATTCGTGTGTCAGGCAGAAGCACTGCCATCTAACTAACGTTCGTGCGCCAGGCGGACCATCTAACTAATTTTCGTGGTCAGGCCGAAGCACTGCCATCTAACTAACGTTCGTGCGCCAGGCAGAAGCACTGCCATCTAACTAACGTTCGTGCGTCAGGCAGAAGCACTGCCATCTAACTAACGTTCGTGCGTCAGGCAGAAGCACTGCCATCTAACTAACGTTCGTGCGTCAGGCAGAAGCACTGCCATCTAACTAACGTTCGTGCGTCATGCGGCAGCACTGCCATCTAACTAACGTTCATGCGTCATGCAGAAGCGCTGCCTTCTAATGTTCACGTATTAGAAGCACAACCATATAATTTTCATGCATGAGGCAGAAGCGCTGCCATATAACATTCATGCATTAGAGATTAGACAGAGGCGCGGCCATCTAATTAGCGTTCGTGCGTCTGGCAAAAGCTCTGCCATCTGTATAGAGTTCGTGCGTCATGTAGCAGCGGTGCCATCTAACTAAGATTCGTGCGTCAGACAGCAGCGGTGCCCTCTAACTAGCGTTCGTGCGTCAGGCAGGAGCGGCTGCATGGTGGACGCGCTTAGCAGCGCGGCGCAGACGAACGCGCACTACACGTGCCACAACGTGCAGGACCTCCTCGCCTGCAGGGGCTACCCCTGGCCCCTGGGGCAGGCCAGGCAGGGCGGCAAGAGCAAGAAGAAGTGAAGCTTGCAGCGTAAGTAAGGATGGAGAATGGAGTATTAACGGGTTAGTATTATAGAACCGGGTAAATTTATAGAAGAAAGAAAAGAGATAACTTGACGTTTATTAATCAAAATATTGCAGGCTGCATTAAAGTTAGTTGCTGTCAGATAATTCTGACAACAATAATTTTTGTTAATTTAAGTCGAAAGCCTATCTTTCATAATAACTTCAGCTCGTATGAATTCTGAATGAAAAGACTCATCGGCATTTTTTTCACGTTGTTTTTTCTATGTCAAAGTAAGCGAATGTAAAAATCGATGGGCCAGACTCCACAACCTTCTCCATAAAATAGGCTACGTTATATTGCCATTCCCTTCGCTGATTCTTAGACTAACCCAGGTGGGGCTAAGCCTCTTAAAGATTTGTGATTATATTATAGTTTATAATAATTGATTGTATGAATATTTAATTATAATCATATTCAGAACTCATTATATTAGATTTTTCTTCATTCTTTCTACAAATAAAAACAATGATGTAATTATAATAATTAGTCAAAATGGCTTTGAAATATTTTAGGGTCGATTAAGCCTCCCTATATAATGACGCAACTGGACAAATCAATACTGCAGGGTGGCTCAGTAGTTAGTTAGTGCTAAGGTATTAAGCGCTCTCGACGATCGCTTGTGCGTCCGTCACCCTCGTTAGGTTCGCGGCTCTAGAAGATCTAAGGAGGGATGACACATCTAAGGAGGGATGACTTAGATCTAGAAGATCTAAGGAGGGATGATGATATATCTATTTCTGAGATAATGTGCTATTAAATCTGTAATTGAGTTATTATTCTTTGCATTTAATAAACGAAACAGGATCGAAGCAGGGAGTTTTAGGTTCGATCCCAGCTACCTGCGACAGTTCCAGTCAAATCGGCAAGGAAGCCGGGCATCACAGCTAAATCAAAGCAGTGAGTTACGTGTTTGAGCCAGCAACAAGCTGCGAATGTTTGGTGATGTTAAGGATCAAGGGACAAATCTAACGGCATAATGAACGCTAAAACGGCTTTAGTATTATTGAATCACAAATGAATTACTTTTTTCTTCACTAATTACACGTTAGGAAAGCAGGTTGTGTTTGCGCACTTCTTACACATTGACCATTAATCACAACAACCACATACTGAAAGTTTAGATTAGGGAATGGCACGAAGAACATCGCAATAAGAACCAAAATAACGACTATAAGTGAGGCTACCGACGTTCAGAGATAACAGTGAAGGTGACGCCGTGCCATCGTAAGCGAGGAATTGCCACACCGTGCGTCGTTCCGACCCGCATGTCCCGAGGTTAACGGCCTCATGAAAAACACTTCACCTGCCTTGCCTTATGACTGCGTTGTAATTATATCAGTATATGCACTGTATGTAATATACAATATGTACGCCTGCTGGCAGTTAAGAACATGCGGGTGCCAGGCGGCAGCCCTCTGCACAGTGGAGGCTATCAGTTCTTCCTCAGGCATCGAAGCCTAGAATGTGATACACTTGCGTCCCTGAATTTAGTGACTAAACGCATTATTAGTGCAGTGTATGAAGAAATTTGCAGCAAGAAGATTGAAATTTAGCAATCGGGAAAAATTCGTGAATCCCGATAAAGGGAATGGAATAGAAATGAAATGCTGTCTAGGATTCAATAAATGTAGAGAAAAAATTAAAACCTGTGCTGAACTGACAATTTGAGCAATTTTGAACCGTAATATAAATAACGCGGATATATAATTTATCATAAGAAAACAATTAAAGCGGTCGCTCAATTTTAATGGAAGAAAATGGATAAAAAAGCAAAGAAATGCGCCCTTATCTTCTGCGTGCTGGTATCGCTGTTGCTCGGTGCCACCTTGTGTTCCATTCTTCTGATTCAAATAGCACCAAGCGCCCTCACCCCTGGCCGACAGAACCGTAATGTAGGAGCGAATGTGCCCAACAGCATGCAGAATGTACTGCCCAACAGCATGCAGAATGTACTGCCCAACAGCATGCAGAATGTACTGCCCAACAGCATGCAGAATGTACTGCCCAACAGCATGCAGGAAGATACCGAAGCCTGGCAGTTTGAGGTACGGTGATCCATGGTTTGCGTACGTAAGTGCACTATTATAGCTTGCCGGAGTTGACTATCCAGGTTAATGCTGCCAGATGCGATGGGAGTAAAGTTAGGCAAATAGGATAAAATTCACTGTATATATAAAATTAGCCTTCGGTAATGAAGTGAGGAGTGCTTGGTAGATGGGTAAAGCCTGAAAGTGGGAATAGTTGGTATATGAGAAATTATTGCACAGTAAATACTATTTCAACGCTCGACTTTGTGAAAAAATAGAAAATTAAACACGAAAGAAAGACTTGACAAAAACTTTTAAAGAAGAATATTAGAGAGGCAAAGGTACTAAGAGGTAGAGGAATATTAGAGGAATATTACTTAGAGATATGCATATAATTAATTAGTATTACAGAGGCAGAGAATATGAGAGGTTTTATAGAGATTAAAGAGGTTGGGTAACATGGGGCAGCATGCCCACTGCGGGTCATGGGCCCGAAGCGGGTTTCTCGCTAAGTATAGCAGATATTGGTCCGTGTTCTCTAACGCCGGTCAACAGTTTCACTGGGAAGAAGTGTACGGATTTACGTTTTGCTAAGTGTTTGCGTTATTAAGTTATTTGTGAATAACTGTTTTAGCCCAGATAAAAATTTTTTTGCTACTAAAAAAATTTTTTTCGATTACTGTAGATGAAGGTTTGGAAATTACTGTGAATTATATTTTAAAGTAATATTTATAGGGATAATTTTGAGATCAAGTTTAGACTATTAGCTTTTAAAATAAAAGGTTGACATGATATACATTGAAATGATACCTAGTGGGGCAACGGGCCCACGCGTGTCACGGGGCAAAGCGCCCATGGTGAAGTCTTGTGTTATACATCATTATATTTGTCTCAATGACCTTTTCAAAACTATGACTAGCTTTCTGAATTACAAATTACACTTCATATTGCATTATTTTTTGATTTGCCGCCTCAAGGCAGCCGTTTTAGTTTCTAGTTATGCATATTTATGACCCCTTTTCGAGTTTTTGACTCTTGCCTTGCCAAAAGTTGATTTCAGTCAACACCAATGAGCCAAAAGTTGATGAGTTTTATGGTGTTGGCTGAAATCACGATTAGGTACGAATTCTCTGCACATAACATTTAGATTATGGACGACACTGGAACGAAGTTTTTTCTGATCAACTAAATATATTTTTTCATGTCAAGGACAAATTTTTTATCGCAAGGATATGTTTTTCAAGTCAAGGATATATATTTTTATGTCAATGAAATTTTTTTCGCGCCAGTGATAGATTTTTTAAGCCAAGAGTATATTTCTTTCAAGTTAAGGATATGATTATTTGAGTTGTTAATAAATGAATGAATGTCATATTTTTTATTACATTTTTCTTATTTTTAACTGTAAAGTGTTGTTTTATCACTTTTTAACGAAAAATATGCAATTGTGGTAAAGGGACCAAGGGTGGGCGCCTTACCCCAAGCCCATGGGCCCATTGCCCCAGGGGTGGGGCAATGGGCTCATTTTGACACTTTTTACAAAATAGTGTTTCACTAAAAATTGAATAACTCTATAGGCGTCCAATTCACATCATATATTCCTCATTAGTTGTACCTTTAAACAAAACAAAGAACCACCTCGTATCAATTAAAACTTCATCAAAAAATTACTTTAAAAAAAAGGGGGGAACGCTGCCCCATGTTGCCCTATATATCTGATGAACTTAGATTAATTGGAGACTACTAAAAAATTGGAGATCCCGCTAAAAAGCGGGAATTTTTTCGCGTAAAAAGAAAAATCTCGGCGTTAGAAGAATGTTGAGTACAATACTAGATAATTTCTCGGTGAAGAGTATGATCTCTTGATAAGAGAGAAAATAGGTAAATGAAATTAAAATAGCTAGTAAATAGAAAAGGAATGCACTGCAAAGAGTAGCATAGTAGTTGAAAACATTATAGGTATATTTTTTGACATGCAATACATTTTTAACTTGATTGCTTTTGTTGCGTACAGATCAGTAGCGGCTCTGAGGTGACCAGCGGTGGTGACAACGGAGGCTCGCGGCCCCAGACTCCGGTAACAATCAACCTATCGAGGAAACAGAGTCCCACGCCATCAATCGTGTTGCGGACCCGGCCTGACTTTAACGAGCTGCGGTTCCGTCCGCTGCAACAACAACTTAACGATCTTTGGGTCGCCAATGAAATGGATGATTTGACATTGCTTGACCGGCATAAGAGGCTGGGCAAGCAGAACTTGCCTGAGGTGAGTCACGACTCGCATCGAACGAGACGACAACAAAAGACAAGGCGAATCAAGGCTCTCATAGACAAAAAACGGCGCATATCTCAGTCAGTTTCCCGAAAAGATCAATTCGATAATTTAAATAAACCTGAAGCTAGAGCAACTGATGCTCTTGATACAGGCGTAGAAGAGCCCGAAATGCAAATATCTGAATTTCGCGACTCGTCACCTCCGAATGATAGAGCACACGCGCTAAATGGTTTCTTAAAAATTTTCAATTCAGTTAGAAAAGATCGTCTAGTAAGAGATCATGTTCATTCAAAATTAAATAATAAAATTCGCAAAATGTCAATTAAACTCAAATCAAATCGTATCTCAAGCTCCAAAAGTTCGAAAATCATCCGTGTTGCATCCGAGAAAAAGGAAGAAAACAAGTTGGGGTTTAGTTCAAGTCTTCATGCAGAAATAAATGCTCAAAAAATTGGAGGACCAGAGTCAGGAGCTCGTCAAGATGACAGTAGAAGAAGGACTCCATATGATCAGGCCTTAATTCTAGCCAATTCCAGTGATAATTTTGAGCAAGCTAGTCTTGTCCGAGTCTTGAACTCAGGTACTAATGACATATTACATTTGACAAAATTAAATCCAAGTGCGAGCACCATGACGGACGCTATGCCAGAGTTTGATGCTATGAAGCAGGGACGTGTGAGGCTCAAAAATTCAGGAACACAATCCAAGAGGAATGATAATCCAGAGACAAAACGACAGAAACGAAAAAAACTCCGCCGCAAACGCTTGCCGAGAACATATGGATCAGCTGCCATCGGCATCCAGGCACTGAAATCAAGCACATTGCCAGACGTCCAGTCAACCGAACCATGCACCACACCAGGCATTCAAACAAAAGAACCATGTACCATACCAGGCAGCCTAACAACAGAACCAGGCTCTACACTAGGCATCAAAACAACAGAACCAGGCTCTACACTAGGCTTCGTAACAATAGAGCCAGGTATTACACCAGGCATCCAAAGAGTAGAACCAGGCACTACACCAGGCTTAAAAATTAGAGAACCAGGCTCTATACCAGGCTTAAAAACTAGAGAACCAGGCTCTACACTAGGCATCCAGTCAACAATCGGACCAGGTCTCCGAAGCCTTGTAGGTTCTGCAGGCAGTCCAGGAGATGGCGCCTGCTGGACGCACGACCAGTGCGGTGAACGACGGCTCTGCTTCGACGGATGGTGAGCTCCGAGTTTGACCGATCAAACCGAAATTTAAATAATGTGCTTGCAACTATTTTGAAGCAAAGTCGTTTTTGGTAACCATTGTTTGTTCGCATTAATTGTTCATGTTCAAATTGATCGGCATTGATCTCAATTCGGTATTTTTTACCGGTTCCAAATCTACAGCATGTCGATTTTCCAGGCCTGAGGATCATTTAAGTAACATTTAATAAATCAAAATCTTGAATTTTGTGAGCCACATCATGTAGAAGTAGGTAATCTAGCTTTATTTGGTCACAATGATGTCTTTCCTTCCCTGTCTCCATCTTTGAATATTTACAAAATCCGTTTGTCGTAGGTGCATTCGACAACGCCCTGACTCGGAGGTGCGGAATGCTGGATCTCCAACAGCGGAGCTGAGGCAGGAGCATCACGGCGACCTGATGAACCTCAACCCCCTCATCAGCAGAGACCCTACACGACCCAAATCTGTGCTAACGACAAATGCCAATAATGCAAAGATTGTGCGCAAGAGAATAGCTAGCAAACCCAACAATCCCCAGGAAACTTTGAAACATGGATACAATGACGTTCTAACAGAAAGTGAATACCAAGGGTTAAATTCGCACGTAAAAAATAATAATGAGGATGAAACTTCGCTGGGACAAGTTCCCGACGAATCAAAACATAAACATAAGGCAGACTTGATGAAAGATTCCTCTGAACTTGAAGGCAATGATGAAATATTACATCCAGAAGACTTGAGCGATTCAGAGAGTAAGCATAAACGCTTAAACACATTAGACGATCCAGAGAAACGTTTCGCAACAAAAGACGCACTAATGCCGACCAGAGACAAGCGACGCCTGCGCATGTCATCAGAGAGCGTGCTGGTGGGAATAGCAATGACAGTTTCAGTGCTGTTGGTGCTGATGTTGGTTACAGCTTGTGTGTGCTGTTGTTACTATCGCCAACAGAACCTCAACGAAGAAGAGCAAGAGCTAATCCTTAAGCCTTCGTTGACAAATAGCATGGGCGAAGAAGTGAGTTAAGGTATTTTTTAAGAAGGTAAAAGGTTTTGCTTAAGTATTTTATAAAATTCAGCAATCAGGCCGATTTAATACTACATTATTCTGGCTGTAAAAAAACGTGCTTAAATAGCTCTACTTGTTTATTACGCTAACAAACAAAACGTTCATAAACGAAATTTACCAAAATTGCAATGAATACAATTTTTGAAGAGATCATTCTCGCGTTTTAATCTGAATTAAGGTCGTGTGTAATTCTCGGTTAAATACAAATATTTTTTCCATAGCGCTGCAGCCACAACAATGACAGCGGGGGCGTCAGGAGCCGACCACCGTCCTACAGGTCACTGGCGCCCCCGGACTACGTGCAGACGAGGGCGCTGATGGGGGACGGTCCACTCAGCCCTTCAAGATCTATGAGAGGAAGAGGAATCCATGCAGGAATGGAAGCTCAGTCGAGAGGACGTAAACTTGAAGCAAATGGGAAGAGGCCCAGCAAGCATGTTACTATTGAAGAAATAAATCCTTTTATCCGCAACGAACAAATCAAAACTGATGCAATTCACGACAGAGTAGAAAATCAGTCTACAAAGCCTGATGAGAAATTTGCTGAAGATATTCATCTCGTTGATCCAAGCGCAAGACAAGATGATAACCCTGGTGTTCAACAAATGCTCAAGGAATCCAACGTTACGCCTGAAATATCTTCAGAAAAGATCACCAAGGATATAAAGACGAATAAATTGGAAAGTGAAGATTCTGGTATAATTGATGGTAACGAGATGAGGCGCAATGGGCAGAGCGATAATTCAAGAGAATCCAAGGTAAATAGAGATATTGTGAAGGAGCTCGCTGAGATCCTAGTGAGCAGACGCGAGAGCTGTAGGAAGGCAGGAGGCGTTCAAACAAAAGTCACAGCGCAACTCGCCTATCGGGGAATGGAACCAAAAGCCAAAGCCGCGACAGACGCAGCACACATGACTGAAGAAAACAAATTATCTCAAGAGGAAACTGTTTATGTTAGCACTGACGATAGCTTTTCAAGTTATGAAAATGACGAGATGCAGGCTAGAACTGACGAGCGACAAGGTAAAGAGATAATGCCAACTGAGCACATTTACGAAGAGGTCGAAGAACAACGCAGCCATGACAGCGATGTTCTTGGGCAAGAGTCTGAGCCTAGTGCCCCACTATACGAAAACTTGCCCCGTCAAAACTCGTAACTTTGAAGTCATACCAATAAATTTTTTCATATATTTTTTAAAACTAAATAAATATTCTAGTTATCAGGAACATGTTGCAGAGAATGCATGAAGACTTCAGTCGTCAAAGGTAAATCCAAAATCCTCCTGATCGGTAGACGCAATTTACGAAAAAAATTGCAATCAAGTAACAACTTAACGATGAATAAAAAATGCTGGCATCTCCACTTTAATCCATTGATCTATTTTTCTATTGCCGTATAAGGGCCTATATATAATTGCATGCAAATTACAGGTATATTATACAAAGGAAAAATAAATGTTCATTCTGTAGGTTCGAGCTTTCAACTTTTCAATATACTTTTGGAGAAGGTTTCGAATATCTATTGATATAAGTTTCGAATATAAGTTTCACAACGCATATTTGTAGCTAATATTTCCGTAACTAACAGTGTTAATTTACGCATCTACAGGGTTATTCTAAATGATGGACCCAATTTAATAAATTCGTGTTTATTCGAGTATAAATGACTCTGTTTACGTCCCGCCTCTACCAGCAACTCTGTTTACGTCCCGCCTCTACCAGCAACTCTGTTTACGTCCCGCCTCTACCAGCAACTCTGATTGATCTGAAAAACCACCGTATCACTGCTACGGTGCACTCAGTGACAGAAGATATGCTTTCTCGTGTGTGGGACGAGTTTGGCTGCCATTTAGATGTTTGTCATTCATCACAAGGGGACATATTGAACATTTAATAAAATATATAAAAAACTTTGAATCTTTCTCTTTCCGTTGGTGTTTAAATTATTCATTTTGAATCCATACTTAAATATATACGAGTTTATTAAATTAGGTCTATCATTTAGAATACTCTTGTATTTCATGTCCAAACATTAGGCACGACATATCTACAATTTTTATAACAATATATAACGTTTCGCAACGATGTGAGTTTTCTCGTGCCGTATAGAAATTAAAACTGCACTTGGGAAAGATTGACGACAGCAAACCCTGTACCCTTGCAACTTCTGACTATGATAGTCACCACAAGATTTACCCTGGCGACCGTATAATCAACACGGCCGACACGAGGCGACAGTGAGCAGCAATGTGGCCTCACTATTAAGGATTTCGTCCGCACATTTAATAGAATAGAATTGTCGGCACTGAAGAAATACACGTAGGCCCTGGACCACTCGTGAAATGAACTGCCGTCGCGATGCAGCGCAACTTCATGCGTAGACTCGCACGAGGTATTATGAGAACTTTATAAGAAGCTGGTTTATCAGCTCATTGTCTCTGCTCACTAATATCAGAAATATGATTGCTGCTCACTACTGAATTTATTATTCTGAAACTTTCTAAAGTGGTTGTATTTGAGCAGGAGCAGCATCCTTAACAAAAACGCGATAAAAAAAACTAACTAAAATATTTATGTTCAAAACACTTCCGCTCCTTGAAAAGCAATAGGTTAAAAGCTGATGCAGAGAGTTATTCTAACTTATACGCAATAACTTCGTTTTAATTTTATATTTCGTGAAGAATACGTACACATTGCAAGCCAAAAAAAGTAATAATCCTTGGAAAGTAATAATTAACTATGAAATTAATTAAAAATGATTCAAAGAAAAGGTGGAAAAACGGCAACATTTTAAATAATTTTTTAAAAAATGCCAATACAAGGGAAAGAGATAGTAAAAAGGAAGCAGTAAAATCATTATATGAATCATAAACAAAAACTAATTGTAATACTAACAGGTCCAAATATGTAATATAACAGACCTTCGTATATCAATTACATTGATGATATATTTATCACTTTAAGCACGTCACCAAAATAAACTGTTACAGAGCACTATTCTACATTTAATATACTATGTTAAGCAGTTATGGCTGAATAGATAAATATATGGTCGTGGTAGCTTGGTAACATTGAACGCTCCAGCACTGCGCCGTTGAGGAATAATTTGCCCTTCATGAGTTGCAGTACATCACTAGTCAGGCTGGTTGCTGCTCTGCTGTTCAAATAAAACCTAGTAAGAGCTTTCTACATAAACGCAGCGTCTTACTCATGTCGCAGTATTGGACAGTAAAATATGAGTGACATGAAAGAGAACAAATGAAGATAATAAGAAGAAAATGAGCTGATTAGAGAAGAAAACATTCGTTGATGACAGCACTGACACAACCACAGCCAACAAATGGGAAATTATACGAGAGATTTGTAGGATTAGTTTCAGTAGAGGTCATTTATGAGGTATAGGGAAAATTATTCAATAAAAACATCTGGCTTGATTAGAATGAAAGATTTGAAACTCAAGTTTACTTAAAATATTGATGCTGAAACAAATTAGATGAAACGTAATACTAATAGAAACTGAAAATAAGCAAGATGACTACATCACTACCTACTTTAATATTCCATTGTCCAGGTGAATAAGTATCTAACCTAACATAAAAGATAACAATTATTCCATGGTAGATCTAGTAGCTATATATGAGCTCCTGGTTAGACACCTCATCTTGACCATGGGGAAAAAATTTCAAATTATCTTCTTTGATACAAAGATCAGCAAAAGCACTTGAGTTGAATATTAGGGCACTCCTTTAGGGATAATAAATGAGAGCTTGTCTGCCACCTCGCCCCACTCGCTGCGCTTCAGGCTGAACACTACGCACCAGGCTATGACTGCCACAAGCCACAGCAGTGAACCAATGCCACTAATAACAACATCTGCAAATAAAATGGAGAAGAAACTAAATAAAATTTAAATGGTATTAAATAATTACAAAAATATAACAGTAACTTTTAGTTAAAAAAATTTGCACCATAGCTAGTACAAAAAATATATATAAGTAGCATATTTTGGAGCCAAAATTCACTGATACTTGATCCAGCCTTGAAATTAACATAATATGTCGTACATATTATTGATTCATATTATAAATTATTGGTATCTCGAGGTGAAAAAAAATTCTGCTATCATTCAATAATCTGATCCAACATAGCAAGTAGAATATACACCAAGGAAATAAATTCCACAACACAAAGTACAATGAGACAACACAAATTAAAGCCTCATTTTTTGAATATTTAGTTTAGGAGCCTTGCATCAGGGCTCCTTTCAAAAAATTTAGTGGCAGAAACAAATTCATTGTGGTATTAGATGAGCATCACCATACAATATTTCAAATATTCATTTGGACAAAATAGTTGGGGAGATTTAGATAATATCTGCAAGGAAGCCAAGATTATTTGAACATGCATGGACCATGTGTAAATTATTTTTAATGCTATTTGTGCCCAAACTAGGCTAATTTCTGCTCAAAAAAATTTTTTGTGTCACACACTGAAAATATAGCCTCTTGGTCTTGAAGGATACCTACTTCAACAATTCATATCTACTTAAGAGTTGCAAAACATATATTTTCAAAGTGATTTTTAAGTAAAAATATTGATCAACCGGAGTACAATAATATCACTGCAGTGCATGCAAGAAATAATTGACTGTGCAGCCCTTCTGTAGTACTATTAGTTGCAATGCAAGATACTTTGAAAAAATTGGGGCTTTTTCTATGCAAAGTCTTCCTGAAAAGAGACAACTTTCCAATTATTGACTCAATGTTACACGAGATATACCTAAAAATATATTGATAATTTCTATGAGACAAAACAAACTGTCAAAATATCAGGAAATTTCAAACTTGTTGGCTTAAAAATACAAAAGATATATTCTGATTCTACTATAGTTGACACTTACATCTTTTCATTTGCTTTTGTTCTGGGTATGGAGGTTTGAAGAAAGCTTCTCGCAAAAACCAGATAGCATTTACAGCCCACATAAACGGAAGACATGCAAATCCAGCTGCAAGAAAAATATAAAATTTTAGAACAATAATAATGACAGAAATGTTTGAACTTTTAAGCAAGTAAATGTTCTACAGAAAGGACTCAAATAATCTAAAATTATACTTCTTCAAAACATAGTACCTACAACTAAATTTCAAGGAAATAAGTAAAATCAAAACTTTGTTGTTATTGCAGGGTGGAAGTTGAAAAACACTAGGACTTTATTCTATAAAGAACAAGCTAGGTTATTGCTTCCAATTCAATATGATGTGAGGACCTCTTCATAAGTTGTTTTGCTCAAATTCCACCCTACTCAACTCGTGTTAGCTGCTCAAACCTCAAGATTTTTAAAAGAATATTTATCAATTGTTGCTTATTTCTAGTAACAATCTTTAATCTAATTTTCCATCAATTAGGAATTGCAAGACTTTCTTATGCAAGACTGAAAAATTCTATTTTTAGCAGATTTTTCCAAAACTGATTTTTTGATTGTGCACAAATTTGTAAGGAAAAATTCATATGACAAGACGCTCTTGGCTTCAAAAGTGGCAGGAAAGATCTCTTAGTTATATACTTGCAGCTTAGAAGTAGATTGTCTTCACCTGTTATTAGGTAGATTGTCTTCACCTTTGATTTACCAACTATAATGAATTTGAGACAGATCATAGATCACATATTTAGATGGATGTGTTATCAGGCATTGGTCAGGAACAGGCAAATAATCTCACTTACCAAAAAAATATATTCGACAGAGAGATAGCTTCTTGGTATTGCTCATTCGACTGATATCCATGTTTAATATATATTATATATACCAAATCTTCTTGTTTTCAAAGTTTTGTTAGAACCCTGAAGACTTGTTCAAATCCAATGCAGCCCAATACAGTTGATGCTGGATGATGAATTATAGTTGCCAGTGCCACACACCTGTAGGCAATTTCAATTAGGCAAGAATAATACAAAAGAAACTCCTCCAAAGAGGGGAAATATTAAGAGATAAGGTCATGTAAATATTGAATACAAATAATAATAATAAGACCAGACAATCACATACATATTATTATTATTGGACACTAGACAGTCTTGTCAGTGACATTCATAGTGGCAAAGCAGTGAGTTTTTTAGACTCTTCCTCAAGTTTGATTTTGAGTCATACCATCAAACAGATAAGGGACTGGCAGGGTAAATTGGGACAGTCCTCTGCCACGGCGTAAAAATGTTATATGTAACAGCAAAAATATAAAATTAAAATTGCTCAAAAAAACATTGAATTGAAAACAATTTAATTTATAATAAGGATGATTGAAAAATAAAGCAAAATACAAAAAATTGAAATGTTGCAAAACTAAAAATAGTGTCATAAACTACTTCAACATTTTTCCTATCTATGTAGCATGAAGAAAGTTAAGAAATCACACATCTACTAGCTCTAAAAATTCCCTGAAAAGAATGTAAGAAAATTAAATTTTGAAAAAGTAGTACTTCTGTCAAGGTCTGTAATAAAAAAGATTTGCCATATTAAAAAATTTTGCTTGAAAAAATTTGCAGACAGATGTTGGCTTTAAAACTTTATTGACGGAATTTGTGTACCTCAATCCAAAACAAAGTGATGGCTGTCTCTGACAACGGTGTATTACGGGACAAACCCCAGGGCCCAGGGTAATACAGGACATCCCTAAAATTGCTTTTACAATAGAACCTCAGCAAAGATTCTAGTTAAGAAAAAAATCAGTTAACAACTTAACAGCCAAGAATTTTAATTAAATTTACCTCTCTCAACAAAACAATTGCACTTAACAAAAAAATTAATGCATCACTGGTTATCATAAAATTTTGCATAGCTGTCACAGATAGAATTGTGCACTGGTCAACATAGAATGAAAAGTAATCAACCTAAACTATGGTTTATGAGTTACCATTTATTTATGATTCACTAAAAAATATGATGGTAAGATGGTTGTCACTATAATATTAAATAAATATATAAACCATCGGAAGCACATTTTTAGTAACATGACGTGTAGCAAATTAGCCAATAGCCTCAAGTGGTTAGCCAATAGCCATAGGCCTATAGCCCATAGTTAGGTTAGGTACCTAGAAAAATGTGTAGGTACCAGCATAGCACAGTTTAGAGTATTACTTTAGATTAAGTGCATCCAAAAAAGGGTGTTTTTTTGTTTAATTATATGTTTTTTGGGATGTAGATAAAGAATCTGAAATCCGTTTTTGGCGGTCGGCATCGGAAAACCGATTTTTATATACGCCGATTTTTATATTATATTTTCTAAGATAAAATGCTAGTTAAATCTTGGCCCCAATATTTGTGGATTTATAGCATTTTTAACTTAGCCTTGGTGACCCATATACTCTTGCAACCACAACATTGCAACTACGGTTAGGTTAGGTTAGGTTTTTTTGCCGATTTTGCCAATTTTTGCCTGATTTTTTTTTTTGACAAATTAAGAGCCTCAGGGAAAAAAATCGGTTTTCTGATGCCAACCGCCAAAAACAGATTTCAGATTCTTCATCTACACCCCAAAAAACATATAATCAATAAAAAACACCTTTTTTGGATGCACTTAATTAGACTAAAGTATAACCCAGTTTAGTAATAAGTTAAAATATATGTTAAGGACAAACATTTCTGTGTGAAAAGGAAGTTTTTTAGGGGGAGGTTTTAAAAGTGTTGATTTATAGAATGGAAAAATAGTTTTTGTTAAAGAAAAATGGATATGGTATTATATAAATAAAGAAAAAACAAGTAAAAATAATAGAAAACATCATTTATTCTACAACTACCAACATCAACCAATTAAGAGGAGGACTTTGATCCATAAGTGATAAGATAGCCCTTTCAAAGTCCTTTAAAATGACTTCAGAGTACCTACAACTACAAGCTACAACCTAGTAGGCTACCTAGGTACTCCTACTGTCTGTTACCGACTTACCGTTAGGTTAGTGATGGCCATTTAACATAGTGGCAAAGCAGAGAGTTTTTTAGACTCTCCCTCAAGTTCATTTTTGAGTCCTACATGTAGACCAGTAAAGTATCCTGGATACATGCATTATTCTACATAAGAAATTGGTTTCAATTGTGAGTAAATGAGAAATTAAAAATTAGGCTAACTGATTCTAAAAATCTGTGGTTTGTCACTATGAGGCCAACTGCCGACTTGTATGCGTTATGCGGCTACTTTCATGCTCTGATCCAAAATCATATTTAAGTATATATTAAAATGATAATATAATTTTCACTGAGCCTATTTACTTACAAGCTGAAGGTGTTGCAGCTGAACTTTAAGAAGCTGAAGTACAGATTAACACGTGGCGAATTAAAGATCCTTTGCATGCTGTGGAGAATAAAATGATTCCGTAATTTTGAAAACTGAAGTCGTAATGATATGTCATATGTGCAATAAAAAACATAACCTTTCATACTATATTATCTCTAGGCTCTTGATATTTAATGTTTGAAACAGACCTACTTCTTGTTTGCTTCTGCTTGTTCAATGATCGCCATTCTGATCTGACGCTATTGACAGTTTTCAAATCAGGACAGTGACATGAGATATGATAGTTGAACCATGGTTGAATTAATTGTATTAATTCAACCATGAGTTGAACAATGAACAATACAGAAGTAAATGATGAGTAGATCTGTTTCAAACGTCGCAGGTCAACTGCTAATAAAATGTGAAACGTTTTTTATTTTGTTGCATCACAAATATATAACGATATTATGTTTGACCTTCAGCTCTCAAAATTACGGAATCATCGGATTCTCCGTCGCATACCATGAATCTTTTATTCGCTATGTCAACATATAATAGAATTCTGTTGATAATCCCGCCCGCAGCAAGGCATTCTGGGAACTACCTATAACCCAAAACTCTGTCGTGGGGCCGCATTGGACTATTCTTCAGAGGCTCCCGCAAATCTGAAAAAGAAAGAATCCCGCCCGCAGGAGATGGTGCTTTGATGAGACAGATGAGTTGGTTGGCAATCGGAGAAGATCTTTCAAAGTTCAAGCTTTGGCTGTTCGCTGTTGGGACTTTGGGAAATTGGGAGGCTCCACTCTCCAAGCTGCCCCCCGGCCCCCCCCCCCAGGCTGGACATTCAGTTAGCTGTTTAACATAATGATCTCGCGTGTGGCACCAGTTAGGCCGTAAGGACAGGGTTACGTTACTTACGTTCCAACTTATGATGACTAACCTTTCATTGTATTTTTGTTTTAAATTTGTAGGTAGCTATTCTATTTTCATAATTTTGTTCTTTATTTATTTATTTTTGTTCAATCTTTTCTATTCACTTTATTTTTAAATTTTTCCTTCTTTTTGCATTTTCATTTCCCAGATTTTTAGAGTTGTTTGGCATCAATTAAACCCCATAATGTCCCCATTTATTGCTTCATGGACGGTGGACCAGCTTCCAGTACTCCCATCCCATAAGAAGAATAAACAAGAAGTAGAGACTTGTTAAAACCTTGAACCTCAAGCCTGCAGGATGGGAAAAGTCATAAATTTTTCTGAAATATTGCGGCTCTAATATATAATTTCAGTAGGTATTAAATCTTGCAGCTCTAATATCACATATTTTTCTTTTATTTCTTTTTGTTTGAAAAAATTGCAGTTTCCACTTTGCAAACATGTTGTTTCATAAAATTTTCAATTTCCACAATCTGCAGTACTTCAACGCTCCAGCCAAAATATCCTGCAGAACGTAATTACAGCAATTCAGCCTGAAATGTTTCTAGAGGATGTCGTAGTTGTAGTTGCAGTCGCGTCAGAGTGGTCAGACTGCTTTATCACATGTTCAGCTGCTACTTAAGTGAAGACAAATGTTAGTGTTGCTGCTTGACAGTTTTTAGGGTAAAATTAGAGATTTGAGATAACATGTCCATGGAAATTTGTAAATATGTTTGCAGCTCGTAAATGGCTTTTCATGGCCGAGTCTCCGAGATATGGAATTCATGGCCCAATTGTCCCTTAAAGTACGGCTTTAAAAATCCAGTCGTGCTTGCAAAGTAAATATACCTATACATCAATGAACGCATGGAACTAAAACAAAGCTTAATATAAAGGAAAAGCTGGAGAGGTGACGGAATTACCTACGATGTCGGAATATACCGCGTTTGCCCTAGTTGCAGTCGCATCAGAGTGGTCAGACTGCTTTATCATATGTTCAGCTGCTACTTAAGTGAAGACAAATGTTAGTGTTGCTGCTTGACAGTTTTTAGGGTAAAATTAGAGATTTGGGATAACATGTCCATGGAAATTTGTAAATATGTTTGCAGCTCGTAAATGGCTTTTCCCTGGTCGAGTCTCCAAGATATGGAATTCACGGCCCAATTGTCCCTTAAACTACGGCTTTAAAAATCCAGTCGTGCTTGCAAAGTAAATATACCTATTCTATGCCTGTCGTGAGGTACATACATGAGGGATGACTCTACAATCTACATCCTCTAAAAACAACAACATTTCTTAGTTCTTACTGTTGATGCACTGTACAGAGTATGCACACTTGATTTTGGCTAAATAAATACATTTTCTAGTGATCTCAAGGAAGTTAGATCCAAAATCCATCAGTTTTCTGTTTTCCCCAGTTTCTGATAATTAACTAGGGTTTATTTTATTAACATTAGATAGCATCACCAATTCACCATTCACTGCGCAATTTTTCTGAGAGACTAAGATACATATCATTCTGCAAAGTGCTAACATTAGAGATTTGAGCTATGCTCTTATTTCTGATTTATTTTTTTTTTTTGTACCACATTTGGTCATACTGATCCAATAATAGAGTTTAGCTGTAAATATCATGTGTAGGTTTATAAATACTTCATCTGTTGAAGCAAATAAGTATAAATTATACCCTCACACTGATCTGCTGATCTCAGTAGCTGGCCTTGTGTCAGCATTAATGAATGTATAGGGTTGTAATTATTATATTGTTTCTTCTCCATAGACAATAATGTTCCACTACTTAAACAAGAGAAACATAAATCCAAAGTCACCTGCTGATGTCTACAGTCTTGCTAAAGGTATTTTTGAGAAAAATTCTTGAGAGTTCATGAATTTTATTAACAATTTATTTTTTATATGTTAGTGTTGCTTCTTTGTGTATCAATTTAGCAGTTAGGAGAACCGGCATTTTCATCTCTTTTTAAAATCAAACAATAAAGTGTAAAATTAGATTGAGTGCAAGATATTTTATTTCATTACTCAAATAATATTATTGCAGTCTCATGATGTCTGTTTTTATCAGGAAGTCCAAGCTTGGTGCAGCGTTTATCACTATGGCGCACCATGGATGTTCACAATGGCTGCGTAAACACCATCGTTTGGGATGATACTGGCCAATTCATCCTCTCTGGCTCTGATGACCGGAACCTTGTTATCAGGTCAGCGTCAGACTATTCTCATGTCTTGTGATCATCATTGCTTCTTTGTTGTCTTTATATGATTTTTTCAGAACTAAATGAAAAATAACTAACATTTTTGGATTTTTGTTGACCTGCAAACTTTTTCATAGCTTAATACATGCTGTAGAACGTGAGGTATAAATTTCTTTAACTAGCTAATCCCTGGCACTAGGAAGGGAGGAAGCATTTAGGCTAATGTTGAAATTGAAAATAATTCACTATCATTATTAGGTCAAAACTTGTTTATTATTTTTTTCTGTGGTATAAGTTAATGCAAAAGCTCAACATTATTTTTAAGGAGTTTACATATTTCTTATTATTCAACCTTCGTATCATTTGTTGATTATAACTTGCTTGTATTTCTCTTCAACTTAAATTCTCTATGATATTTTCAAAATATTGTGCGAATAATTTCAGCATAAATCTAACTCAATGTAAAGCATAGCACAAACAAAATATTCACTTTAGCTGGAATGTAACATACGGTGTTCCTTCTTGCATACAGTGATCCTTCTTGCCTACAGCAATCCTTTTTGCCTAGGTACAGTGATCCTTTTGCCTACAGTGATTCTTTTTGTCTATAGTGATCCTTCTTGCCTACAGTGATCCTTTTTGTCTACCGCAGTTCTTTTTGCCTACAGTGATCCTCTTTGCCTACAGCAATCCTATTTTGCCAACAGTGATCCCTTTATGAACAAGATACTGTGCACCATCCCCACCAGCCACCGCTCTAATATCTTCAGTGCAAAGTTCATGCCAGGCTGCAGCAATCAGAAGATTGTTTCATGCGCAGGCGATGGCACTATTATATACACAGGTCAGAGTTTCTAAAATATTTTTGGGATATTGAATTCATCTTGTATTTAGTTGTATTAATCACCATGCAATACATATTTTGAGTGTACTTAAATTAAAATTAAATTTGATGAGAGTAGTATTTTATTTTTCCCTAATTTTGCAGCCCAGCTGTGAACTAATGATATTTTTAATGTTATCTGCCTTATATAGAAAATTTTATTTACAATTTGCAGGTTTGAATAGTATTTTTAATTTTATGAATCCAGGTCTGTCCCGTTTCCAATTTGAATTATGCTTAGGTTAAACTTGCACTTATTGCTTTCCTTACAACGTTTGGTGAGCTTATACTTGTATTTGTTTCCAACAAGTTCTTCTGATGCTCTATGCTGATCATTTCTACGACATTGTGTTATTGCATGTATTGTATTATTCTTTATTTACAGCACATTCTTTATACTTATGGCACATTCTTTTTATTTATGGCACATTCTTTTTATTTATGGCACATTCTTTTTTATTTATGGCACATTTTTATTTTATTTATGGCACATTCTTTTTATTCACAGCACATTCTTTTTATTTATGGCACATTCTTTTTATTTATGGCACTTTTTATTTATTTATGGCACATTCTTTTCATTTACGGCACATTCTTTTCATTTTCGGCACATTCTTTTCATTTTCGGCACATTCTTGTGTAAACTTGGCGATATTCAACTATTAAACGCATTAGCATGACAAGTGATAGTTTTTGTGCAGACTTGAAGCGAGTGTCGGAGACGCGGGACTGTCGTTTCCGGTGTCACGGCAGCTCTGTGTACGACGTGGTCACCGTGCCGGGGGACAGCCACTGCTTCCTGACCTGTGGGGAGGACGCCACCGTGCGGTGCTTTGACCTCAGGGACGGCACCAGCTGCGTCAGGGAGAAGTGCAGGCAGGTCTGTATACCTATATTTGCTCCATGTCAGGATATTATTTGTGCATGTAACTCTCTATCTACCGCGTCCTGCTGATGATTAAACGAGAGACACACCAGCAGGTTTACACCTGCTGGTGGTATTACGTTAGTTCTCAATAGAATGCGCGTTTGATGGAACCGGACATACAAGCGCCACGATAAAAAGGAAGATTTTCCAAAGTTTTTTAATTCAAATGTAAATATTACCGGTAAATTTGAATTTTCACATCGCCAAAAACCAGGGCTTGCAACTTTCTAGTCCTCAATGCGATTGTTGATTTGCACAACATTAAGAGAGACTGCAAAATATTTGCTTATAAATACTTAACCAGGCACGCAGTTTTGAAACCTGAGACACCTGGGCGGTAGAGTGTACTAAACTATACGACGTAGTCTCGTATCATGATGTTACCAATAATAATATATAAACTCATGGACAGTCCGATACCATATTTCACACTTCTTTCCTTGTATTGTTATTATTATTATTTTTTAAACACATAAAATTATTTTCACCCAGTCAATTGACTGTTTTTCATTTGTTCTGGGAAAAACAAACAACATATTTGTTGGCAATATTTCTATCTGTCGATGATACAGTTTACAAAAACAGGCTCATATCTACTTGCCAATGCATTGCAGCTTGCTAATTGTTATCAATAAATCATTTCAATTACTTAGACAGTTTTCATGTATAACTTTTTTTTGCCATTGACATTCAAAGATTTTGAATTGGGTTTTACTGACCAAAAATGTTCATTCCATCATTCATGTTTTTTATTCAAATTCTTACGAACTTACTTAAAAAATTCAATGTTGTTACTTATTTGCTGTAAATTAATTAACAATGTGCAACTCATCACTTTTATTTTGGTGCCTAGTAATCAGAATTACACTACTATACCGTCAATTTTATGTGCGGTAGTTAAGACCATCAGTCTTATTTAGTTGAAAGGGGTAATATATATTAGAGTAGGTATACTTAGCCGAACATTTCTTCTGGAAAAAATGTTGGCAGGGGTTGATTGGTGAAGTACCAAATACATGTAATTTAGGAACATCCCGGAGCTTTTGCCAGTTGCCACTGGAATTAACTTTGCATTTATCCCTCACACTAAAGGGAGCAGATTAGATTCTGGAGAACAGTTACATATTTCTTAAATGTTTATCTTTGTAAACTAGCAAGTTCTCCTAGGGATTGATAATAATAATACCTGGTATAATGGGCGTTACCCCTGCAATTTAAGACTTACTTTATTCCTAATCTTATCATCCTTGCATCAAGGATACCATCCAGTAAATATTTCAAGAGTTACGAAAGTCAAAAAAGTCTCGCCGCAAGCCACGTTTGGCATGAAACTCTTATCAACACGTTGAGTGCAAAGGAGTTTTCAATTTTGAAGGAGGGTGAATTTGTATTATTAAGTAGAATTTACACCTAGTAAACTAAGTAAAATAACCTCATTATAATAAATACGGTAACTAAAAATCACATTTCAATTTTTAACAAACTCTGGCCATTTTCAGTCTAACATTAAAAATTACGTTGTATTGCGAGATAATATGCCGACTGTATTAGCATCGTGAATACGCGCTCAAATTCGCGGTGTCAGGCGTCAAACATATCAACGTTGACAAATATATGTAAAATTTGTGACTGTGAAACGCCAAGCTCTCTATTGTTGAATTAAGAATGGCTAAACGTGACCAATTCAGGCTTGATTCAACTAATGTCCTGTCACCGGAAAAGAGAGTAACCGACCTCAGATACTTAACACATTTCAGAACAATGTAAACATCTGACAGATATTAATAATATGCAATACCGGTACTTGAGAATGAATGACTTGGGTTTTGAAATATACCAAGCAGTGAACTCAGCTCTTATACCAGCCGTGGTCAGGTCCGCCCTTTTACAGCGAGACACAGTACGCCCTACGGCGGCCACGTAGCATCTTATAATTGTGTTTATTCCGAGAGACACGAGTTATCTACACTCTGAATGAGAACGATGGGTTTCTGATCAAAACTGAACAGAGTCAGGTAAATTAATTATTTCGGTGTCGTATGGTGGGGTCAGAGTAATCTTTTTTGAAATTCAGACTCGAAATTTTCAAATGTCTTCCACACGTTTAATTTGTAACTTTTACCCTGACAACGGTATAAGATTTGCATTAATTTGCAGAACGTTTTGCTAGACATGGGCTGCTCGGCGACGGCTCTGTGCCTTAACCCCGTACGGCCCTACGAGATGGCCGTAGGCACCATGGACTCCAACATCAGAGTCTACGACCGCCGCATGGTCAGGGATAATGGTGAGAGTCAGGGATAATGGTGAGACTCAGGGATAATGGTGAGTGCTTACTCAGGGATAATGGTGAGTGCTTACTCAGGGATAATGGTGAGTGCTTACTCAGGGATAATGGTGAGTGCTTACTCAGGGATAATGGTGAGTGCTTACTCAGGGATAATGGTGAGTGCTTACTCAGGGATAATGGTGATTGCTTGCTCGGGGATAATGGTGAGTGGTTACTCAGGGATAATGGTGATTGCATGCTCGGGGATAATGGTGAGTGCTTACTCAGGGATAATGCTGGGTGCTTACTCAGGGATAATGGTGAGTCTTACTCAGGGATAATGGTGAGTGGTTACTCAGGGATAATGGTGAGGGCTTACTCAGGGATAATGCTGGGTGCTTACTCAGGGATAATGGTGAGTCTTACTCAGGGATAATGGTGAGTGGTTACTCAGGGATAATGGTGAGGGCTTACTCATGGATAATGCTGGGTGCTTACTCAGGGATAATGGTGAGTCTTACTCAGGGATAATGGTGAGTGGTTACTCAGGGATAATGGTGAGTGCTTGCTCAGGGATAATGGTGGGTGCTTACTCAGGGATAATGGTGAGTGCTTACTCAGGGATAATGGTGAGTGCTTACTCAGGGATAATGGTGATTGCTTATTGCTAACATCAACAACTTGTTGCTACCATCGAATATCTGTTTATACCATCAACTACCTATTGCTACCGGCAAGAACCTATTTAGCGTAGCGCTTAAATACCATCCGTAGCGCCTAAATGCCATTCTTGCCTTCAGGCGGCCAGGTTCCCGCACGACGAAGATACAAATGAGATTGGGTGGCTTGGTTCTTTATAATCTCTGACGGTGAATATATGGCGCCGCAGACTGGTGGGAGCAAAGCTGGCGAGCTGTGATACTGCGCATGTGTCCCGCCGAGCTGAAGAGGCGGCAGCAGCGTATCACATGCCTGAGATACGACGAGCGCGCCACGCACATCCTGGCCAGCTACTCCTCTGCACATCTCTACCTCTTCGATACGCAGGTGACTTGTGGATAAGGTGCTGCCCTTTCTTTTCTTACTAATTCTTCTAATTGAAATAAATTATGGCTGCGTTCGATACTCAGGTGACTGTTGTGGATAAGGCGCTACCCTTTCTTTTCTTACTAATAGTTCTAATTGAAATAAATTATGGCTGCGTTCGATACTCAGGTGACTGTTGTGTATAAGGCGCTGCCCTTTCTTTCCTTACTAATTGTTCTAATTGAAATAAATTATGGCTGCGTTCGATACTCAGGTGACTGTTGTGGATAAGGCGCTACCCTTTCTTTTTCTTATTAATTGTTCTAATTGTAATGAATTAAGGCTGCGTCTCTTAGATAATCAGGTCCCAAGCGCTGTAATTGCTTTAATAGAACAATTTTATATTATGAGGTCCTTCTCACATATTGCGTTCTGTTGCCTTGCGTTCGTACGCATCAACTTTTTTGGCCTTGAGGTCATGATGCATTAAGTTTTGAAATAATTAAATTCTTCACGCATCAAGCTCCCGATGCATCAAGCTCTTGACTCACCAAGCTCTTGACTCATCAAGCTCTTGACTCACCAAGCTCTTGACTTACCAAGCTCTTGACTCACTGCAAGCCCACGCTACTGGTCCAGGGGTTCACACATTAACCCCCCGGTTAACCCCACAGACGCGGCGTCACGAGCGCTTGAGCCCCCAGCGTGGGGAGCAGCAGGGGGCGGCAGAGGGGGAGGAGGGTGGGGGGCTCATGGGGGTGATGAAGAGACTGCGGCTGCGGGGGGACTGGTCCGACACCGGCCCCCAGGCCAGACCGGAGAGACTGGCCAGTCCGCAGAATCCCGCAGGTCAGCAGCATGATTTGTTTGCAGACTTATTACCTTATCTATGTTATAAAACGTAATTACATATCATAATTATTATTCTTATCTCATTGTTATCTACCCGCCTCTTCTAATTTAAAACTGCATAACTTTCATAACTTTAACCTATTTTTCCCCCTCTTAATTTTAACCTCTTAACACCTCTTGACTTGAGATTTTTTACCTCTCATAATTTTAATCTTTTTACTTGATAAGAATTTCAACAAACGCGATAGGTCCAAAGAATAGCTACACAACACTAGAGACTATTGTCGATGCCCTGAATAAGACAACCGTTCCTTTTGGTTAAAAGAAAGTGGTGAAATTGCTCGTGCAACATAATGAAACAGCCATAGTGCGTCGCGGGAGCAACACGATGAAACAGCCATATGTGCGTTGCGGGAGCAACACGTAAAATATTAAGTGATCTCAAGTAAAGTCCTGAGCAAATTGCACGGACATATCTTGGCGTACAGTTCCGAGTGTAGTAGTTACTGCTGGTCGTCAAACGTACTAATTCTTTAATTTTTATTTAAAAAACTATTAATAAGGAGGTCTATGTAAACAAAAGTTCTTTATATTTAAAGATGAATGCTTGTAACTTTCAAAATTGTAAGAAGAAAGTTAGCACCACCGCTTTGAAAATGTATAGTTTGAAGTGATGCCGCGTTTGTCCTTCACATTATGAAACAGTGTCGGATATTGTCACTTCATAGCTTAAGTTATTATGTTGGCTCCTATGTACGATAAGACATTATACTTATAATTTGAAAGGATTTTAATAGTACGTGATAAAATTTACTTTTGGCAGGCGAGTTTTGATGGTAGCCAGATAGCAAGTTATATTTAATGCGTGCATCCACCACTGTCATATCCTCAGCTCCAGTAAAAATCAGCCAATATAAACTGACGTACGTAGTCGTTGCACGTTTGCTAAGCCTCCATGTTTATCGTCACCGCCCGTGTGTGCAGCGCTGTCATTTTTCAAACCAAATACCCTGATACTCATTTATTGTTCTCAGTCCTCTTTTTACAAAGTTTCGATCGTGGCAGAATTATTTGGGCAAGCTATTGGTAGAAAATAGGATTACTTCTTTGGAATCAAATCTGCTGCTTAACGTTCCTCTTTTTTATCTTTTTCATTTTCTTACACGAGGACAGACTATGCCCTAATCCCTTAATCCTCCTAAGTATTTATATTGTAATTATTTGGCAAATTCTCATTATTTTTAAGTGTTGATAAACCTTTCCCATTCTCTATTACCGATCGAATATCGCGGGCTGTTTAAATCTGCCAATTGACTTCCTGAGAAACCCGCGAACCGGTGAAGACTTGCGAATGATTCTTCTCATTAATATTTCTTAAACCGTGAAATGTGAATCGAAGATTACAGTATCTCTGTCTCTCTTCTGGCGCACTGGTGATGTTCCAATATTAACCCAAGAACTGGCAACTAGATAGATAGACAATTGCGGCGGTGGTCTAAATTTATATTCCAACCTCTTATGATGTGCTCCAAGGTGTGATAGCCACAATATCATAGACGGACAGATGTTCTTTATACATGCCAAACTTCAAGCATGGCCTTAGAGTAGATCTTGACCACGTATTTGATCTCATACGTGATTACTTGGAGGTCGTGCGTCGAATGGCACATGAACCTGAAGAAATTGATTAGTAAGTTGTTTTAGAATGGGGACCAATGGGTGTATTTTGACTCAGATGTACGAATAATGACAATGTGTTGAATTACAGGAGCGCTGGGCCAGGCTCGCCCCACGCTGCAGGGGGCGCTGATGCAGCGCATGTCCAGCATGTTATCAAGAATGCTCTCCAGCAGCCCTCCTCCTTCTACCCAGTCACCTCTTCTCCGCATGCCTGCTCCTCATGCTCCTCATGCCCCTCGTCTTAGTGCTTCCCAAAACCTGGCATCTTCCACAGCGCCATCTTCATCCGATCCTGCCTCGTCCACAGCGCCATCTTCATCCGACCCCGCCTCGTCCACAGCGCCATCTTCATCCGTTCCCGCATCGTCCACAGCGCCACCTTCATCCGTTCCTGCTTCGTCCACAGCGCCATCTTCACCCGTTCCCGCCTCGTCTACAAGTAATCAGCCTCACCTTGAACACGGCGACGATACTGACTTCCACAACCCTTTCTCCAGTCCCCATAACCCTCACCCCATCCCTCATAACCCTAACCCCACCCCCCATAACCCTCACCCCGTCCCCCACAACCCTCACCCGATGTCTCAAGAGACCGACTTCATGCCTCATGATTCATACTCGATGTCTCACGACGACCACAGCTTATCAACAATTCAAGAAACTTTTCGAGACCTTCGACAAGATTTCATCAATCGGTGAGTTTCAAGTATTGCTTCTACTAAAACAGTCCAATATTTGGCTACAAAAAGTTAAATTTGTCCTGTTCGAGACCTAGTGTAAACTGATTTGGAAAATCTGAATTTCAAAATACAAAATGTGTGAGATCAAAAATTATTTCTTGAACTTAGTGTCTGTCTAGGTGTACATTGTCCGTTTTTTATTCTTTTTCTATACGTTTTTTATGTGATGTAAATCAGAATCGGCTAAATATTCCATTAATTAGGTGACTCTGTGAATAAAGCTTAGATAATTGTGATTTTTGTTTATATTTAATATTAGACATAGCTTGTGTAAAGTTGTGAAGAAGGCCCGCGTGACGTTAAGCAATTATAGGCAGGATGTGAAGTTGGGGTAGTAAAAAACCGTTAGGCGAGTTTGTGTATAATTCGTAATGGCCGAGGGTATCGAAAGGGTTAATCTTTGTTTGAATTTGCGGTACTTGCAGACACCACGTGGACCCCAGCGTGTGTTTGTCGTACTCGCGTGCCGGCACATCGTCCAGCAGCATCACTCTACGCAAGCCTGATGAAGCCCCACCCACACATTTCCCTGAGTGTTCCGAGCCCTGGCCACCCGCGACTCCCAGCTCTAGCTCACGTCCAGAGGGTGACCTGGACTCATCGAGCGCTACACTCACGAGAGACAGCGAAACTAATTCATTAGACGTGATCTCAAGTCCAGCAAACGGTCCACCGTGCAGCCGATCTTGTACAGACAATTCCAGTGGTCGTCCATGCACGGTCGAAACTGGGCAAGCAGATGGCTGTGCTCGTCCCAGAAATGAAGGGGGTGTCCTCACCACCACAACTTCCATGGCGACCTCAGCAATCGGCCACCGAGACGATCTGAAGGCGTCCACGTCAGCCGCCGCCGCTACGCCTGCATATGAAGCTGCAGGTCTTGTACGGGGCGCGGGCGAGCAAATGTTGGTTTAATGCCACGCAATACAATGAAGTTGTTATAGTATGGTATGCCTTATGAATGTGAGGTGGTTGTTATTAGTGTGGCAGGTCTTATGAATGTGTGGTAGTTGTTATTAGTGTGGTAGACCTTATGAATATGCAGTGCTTATTTATTTTATTTCAGTCGTTCAGTCGAGTGTAGTTGGCCACACATAACTTCTCATGTTTGTGATGATGTTTGTGCATCAATGTGTATGAGACACATAACACGATGAAGGTTCATGAAACGCAATCACAATGCAGTTTTATGAAACGTGTTCACGATGTTAATTCATGAGACGCACATTCGTGAGAGGCGCACATGATATATGATCATAAATGCGTACACGAATCAATGCAAGCAGGAAACTCACAAGTGACGACCTCACGCTCCTATAATTCTCTGTTGCTCATTAATCTCTGACGGCCGTGCAGAGACCAGCGAGCCTGGCACGTCTGGGGTCTCTGGTGGCGGTCGAGCGCAACACCGCCGCTCACGGTCCCCCGACACCGACGGTGCGACTTGTGATCCTCATCAACATTGGGACATTTTAGCTCTTAGTGTGCTGAGTGTCACTCTTGTTACCAGGCCCTTAGATACAAATAACATTGATGACGGTTACTATATTTGTGAAGATTAACGCTCTGTGTACTGAATAATACTATCGTTCATTTCTCTTAAGAACAATTCACTTCTTATTTGTAATTAATGTCTGCAGACTCGAGCGAAGACGAGGAACGCACCAGCCGCGCCGCCAAGCCCAGGTGACTGATTATTATTATTAGATTCTTGTGTTGTTGTCGTGAGATTCTTAGGTTATTGTCGTGAGATTCTTGTGTTATTGTTGTGAGATTCTTGTGTTGTTGTCGTGAGATTCTTGTGTTATTAGCATGCGATTCTTGTGTTATTGTCGTGCGATTCTTGTGTTATTGTCGTGAGATTCTTGTGTTATTGTCGTGAGATTTTTGTGTTATTGTCGTGAGATTCTTGTGTTGTTGTCGTGAGATTCTTGTGTTATTGTCATGAGATTCTTGTGTTATTGTCGTGAGATTCTTGTGTTATTGTTGTGAGATTATTGTGTTATTGTCGTGAGATTCTTGTGTTATATTCGTGAGATTCTTGTGTTGTTGTCGTGAGATTCTTGTGTTATTAGCATGCGATTCTTGTGTTATTGTCGTGCGATTCTTGTGTTATTGTCGTAAGATTCTTGTGTTATTGTCGTGAGATTTTTGTGTTATTGTCGTGAGATTTTTGTGTTATTGTCGTAAGATTTTTGTGTTGTCATTTTCTGTTTATGAACATCTTGTCTCAATGTTAAATATGCGTCGTGAAAACCGAACAATAAGCTGATAATTTTCATGCTCTGCAGCCGTTTTTATGAATAATTGTGAACCATGAGTCGCTCGACAACTTGAGCAATGTTCACTTAGTCGTCTCTGCGAAATGTTTGACGTGTCGTAAAGTAATGTTTGGCGTGTCGTAAAGTAATGTTTGGCGTGTCAAAATGTTTGACGCTGGACGCATCATAATGTTTGACATGTTATAATGTTTGATGCAACGTAATGTTTGAAGTGGCGCAATGTTTGACGTGTCCTAATGTTTAACGTGTCGTAATGTTAGACTTGTTTTGATGTTTGACGCGTCGTAATGTTTGACGTGTTGTAATGTTTGACGCGTCGTAATGTCTGCGGTGTCGTAATGTTTGACATGTCGTAATATTTGACTTGTCTTGATGTTTGACGTGTCGTAATGTTTGACGTGACGTAATGTTAGATGTAACTTAATGTTTGAAGTGTCGTAATGTTTGACATGTCGTAATATTTGACTTGTCATAATGTTTGATGTGTCGTAATGTTTGACTTGTCTTGATGTTTGACGCGTCGTAATGTTTGACGTGTCGTATTGTTTGACGTGTCGTAATGTTTGACGTGTCTTAAATTTGACTTGTCTTGATGTTTGACGTGTCGTAATGTTTGATGCATCGAAATGTTTGACGCGTCAAAATGTTTGATGTGTCGTAATGTTTGACGCGTCGTAATGTTTGACGCATCATAATGTTTGACGCGTCGTAATGTTTAACGTGTCGTAATGTTTGAAGTGTCGTGATGTTTGACATGTCGTGATGTTTGACATGTCGCAATGTTTGACGCGTTGTAATATTTGACGCGTTGTAATGTCTGAGGTGTCGTAATGTTTGACTTGCCTTGATGTTTGACGTGTCATAATGTTTGACTTGTCGCAATGTTTGACGTGTCGTAATGTTTGACATGTCGTAATGTTTGACATGTCTTAATGTTTGACGTGTTGTAATGTTTGACATGTCTTAATGTTTGACGTGTTGTAATGTTTGACTTGTCTTGATGTTTGACGTGTCGTTCTGTTTGACTTGTCTTGATGTTTGACATGTCGTAATGTTTGACTTGTCTTGATTTTTTACGTGTCTTCATGATTGTAGTGTCGTAATTTATGACGTGTTGTAATGTTTGACGAGTAGTGAGGTTTGACTTGTCGTAATATTTAAAGTATCGTAATGTTTGTGCCGCAGCACGCGCAGTCGCGTGGCCCGCGCCCTGCAGCAGCACGTCAAGAAGATGAAGGAGGAGGCAGCGATGCGCGTGGACGGCCCCGCAGACCTACTCGTGCCCCACGCGCTGCACACGCGCACCTACGTGGGCCACCGCAACTCCAGGTCACCATACCGCGATGTCGACGCGCGTTGCTTCAGCCTTGGAGAAACGAATTTAGAAAAATGAATTGTTCACACTATACAAATAGTGACACTTAATGTATGAAGCTCTGATACGCGCTTTTTAGGGACTAGCTGGCTTATGATGGCCTGCGCTAGGGCGATAAGTGCGTTGTTTTTTGGACAAATTCTCACTAATTTCTGTGAGTGTGGGTTCGATTCTTGTCATGAGGTGATGATTTGAAGTTAGCACGCCAGTGTCGCAGTGGATGAAGTTGCCCAGAACTCATCATTAGACCTGAAGGGGCAACAGCGGGGCACGGCTAGCTGATGGTTGGACAGGTGGGAGTGAAGGGAGAGTCTGCTTTATTGTGGTGGCTTGGGTGCGAGTAGGTAAAGCCATTCAATGTTCTCCTCTACCATTAAAATATAGCCCTTATTAGCTCCTGTCTCTTATACACATCTAGATGTGTATAAGAGACAGTACGTGGGCCACCGCAACTCCAGGTCACCATACCGCGATGTCGACGAACGCATTCAGAAAAGTGAATTGTTCACACTATACAAATAGTGACATGTAATGTATGAAGCTTTGATACGCGCTTTTTAGGGACTAGCTGACTTAGGAGGACCCGCACTAAAGTGAAAAGGTGCATCGCTATTTGGACAAATTCTCACTAGTGTCTGTGAGTGTGGGTTTGATTCCTGGCTTGGGGTTATGATCTGAAGGCGGCACGCCAGTGTCGCAGTGGACGAAGTCGCCCAGAAGTCATCATTAGACCAGGGGGCGACAGCGGGGCACGGCTGGCTGATGGTTGGACGGGTGGGAGTGAAGTGAGAGTCTGCTGTATTGTGGTGGCTTGGGTACGTGTAGATAAAGCCATTCAATGTTCTCCTCTACCATTAAAATATAGCCCTCATTACCTCGAGTTGTTGTTTCACGTTGGTGAAAAGTTGGTTATGGTTTCAAGCTGGGGTTTCACGTACATTTTTGTGTTGAACATTCTGTAAATTTGTGTTTGAAATAATTTCTTGGAGTAATATTTTCACAAGCATGTCGCTAACATATTTATTCTAAATATCTCATCAGTAACACGCTCTATAGTCATGTGTTGTATAAACATGATAGCACTTGGCATAATGATATAATTCGTCCAGTCGCCTGTCGCCATAAACATCCCACGCAATCACCTAATCACATGTCTTTAGTAAACATGTCTTAACATCAATTTCATCTATAACCTCTGTATTTATTATCTTGCCACAACCTGACTTAAGTATGCCTTGTGTATCATAGGAACTTGCTTAAACATGACTTGCTTATTGCAGAACGATGATCAAGGAAGCCTGTTTCTGGGGCTCTGACCACGTGATGTCAGGCTCAGACTGCGGCCGCATCTTCGTATGGGAGCGCAGCACGCAGCGCCTCGTGATGCTCCTCGACGCCGACCGTCGCGTCGTAAACTGCGTACGCCCGCACCCCAGCCTCCCCCTGCTGGCCTCTTCAGGCATCGACTACGACCTCAAGCTCTGGATGCCGCTGCTGCCTGAGCCCACCTTCGACGAGGAGAGGGCGGCAGAGGTTGGTTGTGTGCCGAGACCTCAAGCTCTGGATGCCGCTGCTGGAGGGCTATTGTGAGACTGGTGGTGCGTGCAGGTGATACAGTGCAACGAGTTGCTGCTGGAGGGCTATTGTGTACTGTGGAGGGCTATTGTGTGACACGTCATTGTGTATTGTGTGGTGCGTGCAGGTGATGCAGTGCAACGAGGTGCTGCTGGAGGAGACGCGCGACACCGTCACCGTACCTGCCGCCTTCATGATCCGCGTCCTGACGAGCCTCAACCAAATGCGGCGCGCCCCACGAGACGAGCCTCCCGCCAGGGAGCTTGTCAGCGACAATGACGATGACGACAGCGACGAGGAGCTCTGAGGGCGGGTCTGGCGGGGCTGTGGCTCCTGCTTCAGCAGTACCTGAGGATGGTGGAGGCCTCTGCAACACAAATGTAGTGAGTTCTTGTGAGCCTAAGGCTCATGGATCCTCATTCTGATCAGCACGAAACTAATTTCCCCAGACTCGTTCATTCACTTTAATTTAAAAGTTGTCATTCATCGACTTTCTCTGCTAATCGAAATTATTGGTTGTTTTTAGTTCAAATTTGACGTCATTTGAGTAGCGCTCCATTTGTTTTGTCTCTCAACTTCCGCGTTGAACCGATAAAACCTGTGTCTTAACCTCAGTTTAAGCTTGAAACTGTTAATTTCTACGACTAGAGTCCATTGCTTGGAATTTGTCACCTCTCTCTTTGTTCTACTCATCTTAACATTAGTTTCTTAAAGTTGAATCAACTTTTCGTTTCCGTTTTAGCCCATTTGAAACTTCTGCTCAGCTGGTGTTTAATCACCGAATCCTCTTCCTATACTCTTTTCCAGCTCATTGGAAGCCTAACATGCCATGCTGCTTAGGGCATTGTTTTATTAGGTAGGTTGTTTTTAAGTTGATTTTCCAGTAATACTTCACTTTTATTTACGTGAAGTATTACTGGATTCAATGTTTTACTACAGCGCGTCCTGTGCAGGGGCGCTGACCTCCGACACAGACTTGATACGGAACACCGGGCTTTTGGAATGCGACAGTAATGGAGGCTCGTGGAAACTGGACAGCAACAATAATGAAGACTTGTGGACAACAATAATAATGAAGGCTCATGGACAGTAACAATAATGAAGACTTATGGACAGTTACAATATAATGAAGGCTCATGGACAGCAACAATAATGAAGCTGATGGACAGCAACAATAATGAAGGCTCATGGACAGCAACAAAAAATGAAAGCTGGTGGCACAGCGTTGCCTGTAAAATCGCGTCTGTGGAGTCTCACTGTACTGTGTTTTGGTGGAGCACGATTCTTGCCCTTGTTACATTAATGAGCTTTTGGTCTACGGATATTATCTCATTTGGGTCCGCTGAATCACATTATTTAACTGGATGCAAGTGTTACCATTTATACCTTTACAGTAATAATTTATAGCTAAGCGCTTTAACAATGGCCTTAATTTTTAGATCCAGGTTGCAGTGCTCTTCATTTCCTGTTGTTTTTTAAACTTACTTGCTAGTGATCGCAAACCAAATAATCGAAATAAAGTCAGTATCGAAAATGCTTTGCAAGTCTTACTTAATTCAGACTACCGTATTCTCGGCCTAGCCAAAAAATGTTTTGAACAAACCTGTCCAGGATATCTTCCAAATTTGCCATAAGAAACGTCGTTTAGTTGTTACTCGTCAAGTTCATGTTCCCGTATATCATGCTCCCTTACGTTTGGAAACGATTTTTCAGTTTTTAAACTCTTAATTTAATTGTTACTTTATTTAGATTGCGTTGTCCCTCAAGCCTGGTCCGCTTATGCTGGCCATATTTTGTTCAGCGTCGACCTACAGAATTGCCTTCTTGGCAATCCTGTGGAAGCATCTTACGCTTGTCCAGCTTGTGGTTTTTTGATGTTTGTGAGAGTTATTTGTTTTATCCAATAATCGCTCGAGCTCATTGGTGTTTGTGTCCGACGTCTACATCGCTGGACGCACCGAGTGCACGTCTACATCGCTGGACGCACCGAGTGCACGTCTACACCGCAGGTCGCACCGAGTGCACGTCCACATCGCAGGTCGCACCGAGTGCACGTGCCTGGTGCACGTATAAGTCGACGCATTTCTCCGTGCTCGGTGGTGCGGCTCTTAACTCTTCACTCTGCCACAGCGCCTCGCGTGGAGGAAGTTGATGACGTGTTCAGTTCTTCTAGTCGAATTCTCCAAGTATTATTACTCGATGTTATCATTTTTATTTATATAGCGTTAAGTTATTATTTAGTTTATAGCTTTGCACTAGGGAGCTGTTGACGAACAAATTACTGCAGTTGTCGCCTGAATTGTTCGCTTAGATCACACTTAAAGTTTAGGAAATTTTGGCTTTGAAGCATCAGGTCTTCATAATTCGTCAAGTCAGTCCCATTCTTCGATAAATTTAACTGTAATCGTATCAGTTGTCAGGCCTAGAATCATCTATCAATTTTGCTTTATGTTTTCTCATATAGAGCGAATAAGAGTTTCTTACAATTAACAGTAGTTGCGGCTTCGAACATCACAACGGCGGTGCCTTAATCAAGACTATACTCTGAACTAACTCCAACCTTCTGTGTGTGTGCAACTCCGACTCGAACGCTTCATTGTACTTCACAGGCGTCACGAGTCAGACTTGTATTCTAGTCCACCTGAGTAGTTATGCACCTAACCTTAAGAGTATCCAGTCATACCTATTACTGTAATTACCAGGACAGGTGTTGTTTTGCCTGTTCTTTGTCCTCGCGTAAGTCACTTAGCAATATTTATTTCAACTTTTCTTCCCTCTCTTTCTTCGGAGAGACAATAACAGTTTTGTTAATTTTACGTTATTTCTAACAAGAATTTAATAATCTTAACATATTTCTTGCCTCTTCTTCCAATTCTTTCTCCCAGTTGACGAGCTCCTCATGTCATGTCGTCCAATAGGACGACATGACATGTATCAACATAAATTGTTGACATGTATCAACAATTGTAGCAACGTGTATCAACAATTTAGGTTCATGTTTTCAACCTTCTTGTTTGAACTTTTACCCGACGGCCCCATGCTATGACGGCCCAGGTTGTGTCCTGACCCTTGAGCCGTCTTCAAATCGTCGTACGAGCTTGTTTCTATGCTAATATTTATTGAGTTCAACCCTCTTAAACATACTCACTACTTCTGAGGAAGGATGAGGTGCAGATGGCCCATCATTGTGTAAATATCAACTGTTCATTTTTGTCGTTGATCACAACTCTTGGTCGCTCAAAAGGTCTTGTTTTAACTCTATTCCTCCCTCTATTCTCTATTCCTGATGAAGCGATGAGTGCTACGCCTACGCGACCAAATTAGTCAAGGAACGGGATTATATCCGTCCAGTAATTAAGGCCGAACAGCGCGAGACTCCACACATTGTTTTCTCGAAATTAAAACTTTAGTGGAGTATTGCTCAAACCTCTTCTACTTTCTTCGCCTTTGGTTGTAATTTAAGTTTTTTGCTCAAACTTTCATGTTCACCCGTTCTGATGATTATCTCAGGATGGTTTTCTGTCAAGACAGTGCAGAATCAATAGCTTCGATTCGCGAAATTGAACAGGAATAACCCCTGGGCTTCTCTGCAGATTCTTTCAAAATTTTCCAGTGAATGAAAAACAAAGCTCTTCTTTAATTATATTTTATTTAAGGGTAAAATTGAAAGACGCCAAGAACTCTTATTTTCTTATTACGATTAAGACTGTACAAAATCATTAAGTATAAATTTACAGCAATATACACACAATCTATAATTATAAACATGGTCTTGTTTGTATTCTTAAGATCATACGTCATAAAAATCTCCATAGTGTAACTATCAATAAAGATTGGAAAAGAAAATAATATTTTATTTCTTATATTGCTACGTCTTTTCAAGTTCTCAGCAAGTCAACAATCTTCGCGAGGCGGGGGGACCGCTACCGTTGATACAGGAGAGAAATTTTCCTTTGGACGAAGGAAAATACAATTCCAAAACGTCAATATTAATTCCTAATATTAATTTCAAATTAAATATATCATAAATTTTTCCAATGTAACATAACTTCTGAAAATATTGACTCATAATTTCAGAAATGTAAATTCAGGTATTGCTAAAACAGCGATTGTCGAGCTGTCTAACGCAGGTAAATCAAGTGAGAAAATCCGACGGGAATGGGACATTACAGCTTGAATGTTATTCGTGACTCTTGTAGGACCTTTCCCAGCTGTTGCCAGCTTATCATCAATTCTAATTGAGTAACTTCTATTTGAAAAAATTTTCTTTTGTATTTATTTTTCCTTACTGTACTTATTGTCATATCGCTTTTGTCGTAATAAGGAAGAGCCTCGCGTGTCTCAATTAAATCAAAGCTTTGCGATCTCAGATGCAACGCGAACGCCTATTGAGTCATTAAAAATAGCAATTAATCCACAAAATCGGCATCAAGAGCAATAGACCCTACATATATCCAGCAATTTTTGCATGAGCGATGCTTGAGAGAGCAGGTGGGAACGTCGTATCTCCTCTTCAGCTACAATTAGGGTGAATGCCGCAGGGCAGTGTGATAGTCTGTACTATACCTCCCTCAGCGCGACAGGCAGTAAATATCTTATAGCAATAAAGTACATTCCCTCCAGCCAAACACAATCGTACAAACTATTGAACCGCAGACCACAAATGCGCTTCTGTTCAAAAACCGTGGCCATGGACTCAAAAGTGCCAACAATCTCTCGACTACCAGGCTACCCAAGAGATGCCAGACGCCTTGAAGACGCGGCTTCGCTAGACATGGTAATTCTAAACGAAGAAGTCTCATGCCATGACCACTATGCCAATATTAACGCCTGCATACTCGATATATGACGTGAGTAATGCTAGAACGGGACAGTGTACGAGCCTGGAACACTTCATACCAGTGACCTAGGTCGATGGAATTGGCTTTGTTGCACATTGAGAATAAGCTACACGCGCCTAAAGCACAGCTACCTGCTTGAGCACCACCGTATACCGATCGCGCATCTTACAGAAACAAAAAAAAAAGCATTCACTCTCAAGACAACGAATTAAGCGACAAAATAACGGCATTAGCGACAAAACAACGGCATTAGCGACAAAATAACGGCAAATTATTTATAAAAATAATTATTTACATTGCGTCCCGATACCGTACCTAAAAGATTATTTCAAAGCATTATCAGTGACGAAAATTTATTTTACAAATGAATGTCATTATAATAAGTTTAATGTTAGCAAATTTTTTGTTTCTTTCAATTGCATCAGGTAAGATTCACGTCACGAGCGCCTTCAGCAACTGAGTTTCTATAGGCAAATATTATTTGCGAACATTTACACTTCTGAGACGAAACTTTTTAATTATCTCTCGTCAGTCAACCTGCTAACATCTATTCATTCGAAACTCACCCATCAAGTAATTAATCGGTATTACTCTCAACTCACAAATATTGCAATAACCGTAAAAACATTTCTGTCAGAGAAGCCATTTGATAAGAATTAAACACTCAGACTAGAAGGTCTGATTTTCACTATAGCAGTATTCGTACTCAATAAAGTAAGGGGAATTATTTACGATCATCTTCATCAGCCAACGTTTAAAAAGGAGCTGCCTCTTATCGTGCATCACCCAAGCTTGTTTCGCTTACACGGCATTACATGTCCGATTGTCATTCGTAGGATAATAATAATATCGTAAGATGTGTACCACGACAGAAAGCTACGAAGATCGTCAAGAAGTGACCACCCTCCTGAAGGTGTTGCGCAAGGAGCACAGGGAGGGCATAACAGGTCTTCTGACGGCGAGGGTGAGGACGCGAGGTGGTCCGTCTTTCTCCTTGGTGAGGCAGAGGGGCTGAGAGAAGCCGTTCTTCAGGGTTGATGCCACACTCGAAGACACGCCAAAAACCTGAGAAATTACAAAGTTATTCGAAATAAAAGGGAAAGCTGCAGTAATAGTTAACAAAGGTTGGCAGAGTAAATAAGAAATAGCCGAAGCAAGTGAAGAAGTTACCAAAAGGCTGAAGAATTGACTATATAGAAATAAATATTACATAGAAAACGATATCTAAGACTAAATAGAAAACAATATCTAAGACTGTATAGAAAACGATATCTAAGGCTATATAAAATACGATATCTAACACGATTTTGAAAATGATATTTAAGATTGTTTAGAAAACGATATCTAAGACTAAATAGAAAACGATATCTAAGACTTTATAGAAAACGATATCTAAGCCTATATAGAAAAAAAAAACAAATAAGAAAGATTAACAGAAGTCACAGAAGACTGAAACACAAAAAAAAGACTGGAGTAGAAGACCGAAATCTGGTAATGGAAACTGTTGGTTCGAGATCGTAACCTGCAAGGTGAAGCTGAACTTGTTCCAGTGCTGGTAAAGGCAGCCCGCCAGCCAAGCGGCCATCTCCTCGTCCATGTTCCTGGCGTTGACGGTGTAGAAGCAGACGGAGACGCTCTCGAGGCTCGGTAGGGAACTGACGAAGGCATGTAGTAGAGACGTGGTACACGTCGCCAGATGGTTCTTGTGCGGACGATGTTCGTTGACGTTGTGCAGTTTAACGTCCTTAATGTTTTTGCACTGACGTAATGCGTCGCAGAATTTGTCGAATTGAGCTTCGGTCTCGGAGAGGTTGAACTGCCACGAGTTGAGAGTGAGGTCGCGGAGCAGCGGGATTGTCGCCAGTAGGCGGAAGCATTGCTGGCAAGCAGCGTCGTCGAGGCGAGACGGTCGGGAAAGGCTGGCTGATAGGTCCAGCGTCACCAAGCTGGTGGGAACGTTTCATAAAATTAAATTCAAACCTGGATACAGAATTATTATAATTTGGATGAGATGTTAGCGCGCCGGCGCCAGAGCTCGATTGAGATGGTATGGTTTTCGGCTAATTAGAGACAAGAAAAAATATCAACGAAAAATCTGATAATATTCTATCATTTCTCGCTTGAGAAAAAATTTTAAAGTACCGTACCACCTGAACGGTGTCTGGTGAATTCACAATTATGTTTTTTGGATTATCTAGCTATTTTCGTTTCATCTATTCAATTATCAGCCTATTAAATAAACAATCTAATTCAATCTAATAATCAAAATAGGAACAGCCATCGTATCAATGTTGACTATTCCATGAGTCCATGAAAGGAACTCGTACAAAAATATTATAGAAAAACAGACCGGTCTGCGAAGTAACAATTCCAGCTGTCACAAGCAATAGACCGGTCTGCGAAGTAACAATTGCAGCTGTCACAAGCAACAGACCGGTCTGCGAAGTAACAATTCCAGCTGCCACAAGCAACAGACCGGTCTGCGAAGTAACAACTACAGCTGCCACAAGCAACAGACCGGTCTGCGAAGTAACAATTCCAGCTGCCACAAGCAACAGACCGGTCTGCGAAGTACCAATTCCAGCTGTCACAAGCAACAGACCGGTCTGCGAAGTAACAATTCCAGCTGTCACAAGCAACAGACCTCGTGAAGCCCCTGAGGGCAGGCAGCAGCAACGGCCCCCGCCTGGGCCCCACGTCCACCAGTTCCACCTCCGCCAGGCTGCACAGCGAAGTTCATTAGTTAATCTTCAGTGTACTAATGGTGACTCTCATAGCCAGGCGTGTAGACGAATGAAGAATTTTATTATTGGGGTTTTATTAAAAAACGTGTTGTTAGATTGATTTCGAATAATTTTGAAACGCTTTCAATAATCCTTAAATACGGAACTTCCGCCAACGCTCAACTCGCGCCGGATTCGGAATAACAAGTTTTTCGAACGAGGAGGTGAGGGCACTACACTCTCACTTGAGGGAGGTGAGGGCACTACACTCACTTGAGGGAGGTGAGGGCACTACACTCTCACTTGAGGGAGGTGAGGGCACTACACTCTCACTTGAGGGAGGTGAGGGCACTACACTCGTGCTGCTGAGGGATGGGAGGGGGGATGCTGGTCACGATGGGAGGGGACAGCATGAGCTGAGACAAGGTCCCCCGGCCGCTGGGGTCGCCGAAGCGGACGGTGCAGTGGCGCAGGCTGAGCTCCTGTACGCGCCAGCTGCGCAGCACCGACGACGCCTGCTGCAGCGCAGACGCCTTGTCCTGCTCGGTGAAAAAGATCGACTCAGAAAATATTTGGCAAATGTTCCAAACATAAGAAGACTGTGCTCGAAATTATGAAATATATTGTGAAAAATGTAAAGTTTATGACAAGAATTTTTATATTAAAATCGTATCTGTCTTACGAAATCGAGAAATGGTGACTTTGGAAACTCATTGGTGTCCAAAACTTAAGATTAAGAGGCGTCAAGAACAGATGTCAAAGAAGTCAAAATCTAATTGGCCTTGGCAGTTTGATTACAAAATCCAAGTTGATGACTGAAAATATCCACTGAACCACTAACAAGATGCTAATCCTGATCAAAGTGCCGTACCTGGAGTTGGAAGTTCCAGTGGTCGCAGTGTAGGGTCCTGAGGGACGTGTTGTTGCGTAGGGCGGTGCAGGCGAGCTGGAAGGCCGCGTCCTTGACGGTGACCTGGTCAGACGAGAGCTTCACGGTCTCAATGCTCTCCGACTGACCCAACGCGATCAAGATCGGCATGTAGCTCTTCACCTGAACGAAAAAAAACATAGAAGTCATTCTTGACTTCCAGCCTATAATAATGTGCAAAGACTGCATGAGAAAAGATCATGATCAAGCATTTACAATTTACCGATAACGTCGTAAATTGTGTTTGATCTATTTCATTAGCTACAGGGATTCAACCGAAACCAATTAATGGAGTATGTTTACTTAACAAATTATAAAAGTTTATTCGTCTCTCACGACTTACAACACAGACAATATGTGAGCAGTTAATTTATGAATTATTCACTTCTCTGAGTCGTTGCAAGTCGAGCGTCTTGAGGTGCGGCGCCTGCCTGACGGCGTCACCGAGACAGACGAGGTCGGCGATGGTGAGGTAGAACTGAGGCTGGTCCAGACTGAGCGTCTGCAGCCGCGACTCCGGCAGCGCAGCGAACAGGTAGTGGAACACAGACTTGTGTTCGCTCGTCACGCACAGAGGCAGCGGCAGGCGCGTCTCGCCTGCATAAATAGCAACTAATTATTGATATTGTAAATAAAAAATATGTTGCTAGTGTTTTTGCCTGAAGCAATATCACCCAACCAATTATCGATTGAGTAAATCACTGTGAGATGATACTTGTATGGCGGTTTTAGTGTTTATTAGGCCGGAGGCCTCTCGCCGATTCTCAACATTGCAGAGCATCCACAGCTTGTTGCGGGCTTGAACTCGCAACTCACTGCTCCAATTCTGCTGTGCTTAACCGCCCGGCCTCCCTGCCGATTCTGACCAGAAACTGGCGCATAGAGCTGGGATCGAACCCGCGCCTCTTTGCGCCAATCTTGGTACTCTGAACTTTAACCACTGAGCCACCCTGCCCTTTTATAATTTTTTGCTTCGCATGAACCTCGTTCACATCCTTGTTCAAAAGATAAATGAACGCAGCAGTAGCGCTGGGGAGTATAAGTTAAGAATAGCAGCATGCAATACAATTGAAAGCATAATTATGGAAGCTATGACGAGACGCAGGATAACTGTCGTGAATTACGTGCGCGGTGGAACTTAGAAACAAAATTGTTGTTGAAGATCGCGTCTCGCCTGAAAACAATGTAGGTGATTACGACTAGAAACATCAAAACGTTGCTTATACATTAGGTAGTAGAGTGTAGGTAATAATATTAATGTGAATTAAACCCAAATAATTAATCCTACAAAACGTGAGGCTAAAGCCATTAAAACTTATCATTGAATTGTGCCTGCAATATATGCATTCTTCCACTCACTTGCCCTGATGAACCAATAATGGCGCGCCTGTGGCACCTTCTTGATGTCGTCTCCCTTGACGTCAAATAGGAAGGGGAATTCAGTGCACGGGTGAAGCGCGGGGGTGGCCGCCCCCACGCTCTGGGTGTCCTCACTGCTGCTGTACCCCGCCTCGGCACTCCCATTCCCCACGGAGGACAAAGGTATCGCGGGGCTTGAAGGCTGGGAGGCGTTAGGGGAGTCGTCGTTGTCGTGTTCGTGCAGCGTGAACTCGTCGTGGCTTTTCTGTGCGGCGTTCTTGCGTATGCGCAGCGGCTTGAGCTCTGAGCCCATCGTTGAGGGAGAGAAGTCGGCCACCTCATCAGCGCTGCCAAACACGTTCACCAGCAGCGCCTTGTTCATCGACACTGACCAGCCACAGAATCACGATATTTTAATTTATACTTTTGGAAGCATAAAAATTTCACTTAACCCAAACTGAACATTATAAGAAGTCGGAAATGCAAGCCAGAAGCAGCTGCATATCCAAGCTTTAGAAAAAAATTGTTCCTTTGCGATCTATCACTAGCACCTTACTTTATTATTCTTGTAAATGTAGGTAAGTGCACCCGAACTTTTAAAAGACAACACAAACAGACATTAAATAGTTTTTTATATTAGGTGTTCTGTAATGCTTTGCTGCGGGGAGGATATAAAATACCTATATTACAATATATATTAGGTATTCTGATATGTTCTACGGATATAAAATATATTATAGCGGGCTAACATATTAGCATACTAAATAGCTCTGCTGCAGGGTAACGGTAGCGAGTTAGTATTAAAAAGATTGTAAATAAGAGAGTCTCTATGAAAGCTTATAAGCTTCTGATGGAGAAGGGATGAGTGAATGCTAAGTCACTAACGTCAAGGAGTAGGAATATAAAAGTGAAGAAAATGCCAAGGTGTTTCGCAGTTTCTCCATTGCTTTGGAGGCCAATTTCATCAAAAATCGAAAATTTTTCAAAAGTGGATCATTTTTCAATCATTAGAGGAAAACCAAAATTTACATACATGGAAGACTTTAAAAATCAAGAGCGAAAAAATGACCAAGGTAACTAAAACCACAATCGATTAAAAATTTCGAAGTTTTTTTTTTAATGATACGTTTTCAAGGTCCTTGGCCTGTTCTTTCAGTATTGATGTGTTAATTTCTTCCGTGTAAATTTGGTCTTTTATCAATTAATTATATTTGTATTCATAAAGTTTCTGAAATGATGATGGAATATGTATTACCGTACTGACGATGATATGGTACCTACATGTATTGTATACTGTACAAATAATTTGTTTGTTACATTTTTGGTTCACCTCAGATTTAAGAGAATCAACGAAATAAATAAATAATGAAGAAGTTTGCATTTCCCCGTAACATTTTTGGTGGTGCCTGTCAATATCCCTTACTGATTTAAGAATCGCATTTCTGTGACTATTAAGCTCCATCCACCACTCCACCGTCCACCACTCCACCACTCCACTAAAATATCTTCTAATGCACTCACCGAATCGTCAATGGTACTGGCGATCTCAAAGGAATTCTTGAGATGCTTGCCAAGATCGATCTTCATGTCGCGGAACTCGAGGATCTTGAGTCCCTTCTTGGAGTACAGGTGATGGATGTCGCTGAAGAACATGAGCAATTTGTCTTCGGTGAAGTGGGCACCGTCTTGTTTAGCTCGAATCTTTATGTTCTTTACACTTCCGTTCAGATGCAGAGCTTTGAAGAAAGCACTGAGTTGCTCCGCTGAGGCTTCGACAAACGAGCTTTCTTGGTCCGGATTGGAGCTTTTGATTCTCCATACAAGCTCCAGCGAATGCAATTTGCTGAATTTTTCCGGAAGCAAATGCGTCCAGCCTTCAATGTGAGCCTCGTTGGTAGACAGCACAACTGATTCTTGGTCCAGCAGACGAGCGATGATTCTCTTGTTGGCCTGGTGCGGCCCAGCTTCTTTCAGCAACGCCAGAAGTGTCAATTCGGGCAAATTTTGTAATCGTGGGTACCTAGTGATGGAAAAAAGCCGATGTGCGTAAGAGGAGAGAATTCCAGCTGTAAATGGTAGCACTTCCGAGTCTTTCCGTTCCAAAAGAGACGCGAATTTCCAGCACTGGCGGCAGCCACAGCGACAGCGACGAATGTGGTTCGCCATGTGCAGGGCGGCCAAATATTCAACGAAGGTTTGGTGCACAGGCTTCCAGAACTTCTGTACCTGAACACGCAAAGCATCGCTTTCATCTTCATTGTAGAGGAATCCTAACTGGCAGATGTCTTCGAAATGAGGAACTGTCCTCAAATCTTCGTCGCTGAAGCGATGTCTGTCACTCTTGATGGCCTGAACGCAAAGTTTGCCGAGATGGTCGAAAGCTTGTTGGTATTCTGCGGGTAAACCGTCCATTTCAGCATTGGCTTCTCGGTTCCTCGACTTCTTCCACTTGATGAGGCACAGCATGATCTTGTGGAGCATATCAGACATGCTGTCCGGCAGCTCCTTGTTGGCGTTGTCGCTCTCATATAACATGCACAGCAGCACGCAGAACAAAGGCCTCTCCGCTAGCTTCCTGTACTTGGGATGTCGCGCAAGAATTTCCTGAAGAGACTCGCCACAGTTGCTGTCCTTGACGATATCGAAGTATTTCTCGATGAACTTCCACATTTGGTGCTCGTCGAAGCCCTTGACGACGAGTCTCGTGGCAAGGCACTGCAGAGCCGCGGGGCGGGAGGTCACCAGGACGCGGCTGTTGGGGAAGTCCTGCCCGTTGATGAGGTTCTGAACGTCACATTTGTCGTACTGCCCCATCTCGTCGTAGCCGTCCAGGATGAATAATATCGCCTTCTCGTACTTACGCCAGTAATCCCATACTTGACGAAACCTTGGGGATCAAAGAGGAAAAGTTAATGATCGTTATATATAATATAATAATATGTTCGTTACACAGCATTCAAGCATCTCACGGGAATCATTAGATCCCACAAGGAGCGCGTAAAAAATTGACATTTTATTCAGCACACAAAAGTTCAGTATACGGAAAAGTTTCTCCGTGCCCCGTGTCAATCCATGGAGCTTTTCTTCGCGCGTTTCGCTTATTTTGTTGGAAGCAAAAATTGCTCAATGCTTGAGCTCACTTCTCCGGGTCGAAGTAGGAAGGTAGGATCTCGTCCTGGATGTACTGCTCGATGCTGCCCTGGTAGTCGCTCAGGGAAATGAGCAGCACGAGTCTGAAGTGGCCGAGGTCGCCGCCCTCCGCCCACTCCTGCGCCAGGCGGGCAGACAGCAACGTCTTGCCCATCCCGGCCTCCCCCTCCACCAGGAAACGTGTCTGCCAAAATCGCGGGTTTATCAGATACATATTACAATATATGTAATATGTCCATTGAAATACACGAAAACACCATCTACTGTTGATTGAACACCTGAAAAAGACTCTTTATTGCAGAGACATGCGGAGAAAATACTCCATTACAACTGTCGTTCGAAAGCTCGAAAACCATATATTATATGATATCCAATAATTTCTCTGTTGCCAACAGATGCGCGTATGCTTAAACTGAATATGACATACAGAAGATAGCACAGCTAACAGTGGTGTGAGGCGCTGTGTGTCGGTCGAAATATCATGTCGGTTTTATTGAATATCCTAAACAGAAAACGACAACAAACCGAGCCCAGCCTCCTAACACTTTTCGAAGTTCATGCGGCTAAATTCTTTGTCTACTGACGATAATTCTAGCTACTGTTCTTTGAAGTTACGACTAATATTAACGACAGTTAAATTACAAGTAGAAAAGCGTTAAAAGTTCCGTTAGAGCTCGTAGGTGCAGGTGGGTACCTCGCTGTCGGCGGTGCGGAGCAGCTGGGAGAGGTCCACGGCGGTGGTGGTGGGCAGCCCGCGGCGGTCCACGGAGAAGATGCGCGGGTCAAGGTAATAGTCCTCCAGGGGCGCGATCTGCGGGGGTTGAGATGGGGGGTGGTGAGACGGGGGGTAATGAGATGTATGTAATGTAGTAGTAAGGTTTCTGAGTGCCACCAGGCGCCTGAGTGCCATTAGGCGTCTGAGTGCCACCAGGCGTCTGAGTGCCACCAGGCGCCAGAGTGCCACCAGGCGCCAGAGTGCCACCAGGCGCCAGAGTGCCACCAGGCGCCAGAGTGCCACCAGGCGCCAGAGTGCCACCAGGCGCCAGAGTGCCACCAGCTCACCAGGCGTCCGAGGTGCCAGGGCAGCAGCGGTGACCGCGAGCGCTGACGGTAGCGGCGCTGCAGGATCTCGTGGAACATGACCACGGCTTCGTCCAGACCTGCGGGGGAGGAGGGGTGTGGGTGATCGTGATATGGGCGCTGATGAATGCGTTTGTAATAATATATAATAATCAGTCAGAACTTTCTACATACCAGACTTAAACGTTGAAGCCGATGAATATTTCTGTCTCATGGATACTCTGAGACAGAACCTACGTTGACGAAAAGGTTCTCGGATGAACAAATTAACGATTTCATTGATCATCAACATAGGTTTCATATCAAAAAGCTCCCTGGTCGCACACAAACAGTGAAAAGATGAATTAAACTCGTCACACGGCCGTCACTAGCTGTTTATGAACACCACCAAGACGGCTACGTGAGAAATATGATCAAGTCGAGGATAAAAATGCCATCATTCGACGTTAAGAAAACCTTTTTCTCTTTATAAACATTTTGTTAAAAGTCTGCGTCAGTGGAGAATATAGTTTCTCGAATATTGAACTGCTGCGTGGGAACTTTGAAACTGCGAAAAACAGGCTTCCACTAGATTCAATGGAATTTAAAAAAGGCTATCCCTTAATGAAAATCAACTCGTTAAAATTTTTAATCGATTCTATTTACTACAAATGATGTGCTAACTTGTGATTGAAAATTATACCGATTAAAAAATTAAATTATGTGAGCTTTAAATATTCCTATTACTCGAAAGAACCATGCTTGGCACTAGTTTAGCCGTCTTCGTACTCGATTGTTTTCACGTTTTTCACGTTAAGAATTGAAAAAAATTCAAATTGAATCCAAAGTTTATCGGACGACGCCTTTATTTTAAATTAATATTATTCGCAGCGCTCTACTACGTATACTGTCTCGCACAATTCTTGGGCAACCTATTAGTATCCAGCGACTTAGGTCACATTACGTTTAATAATTCATAATTGAATAGTAGATATATGAATATTCAGGTAGTATAACCTAAAAAATCAGGCCGAAGTTTCAAAAAAATGTCGATTGAAAATGTAAAATTACGCTGATAATCACATTTCTTTACTTTCCAAAGGCATTGCTTCACCTCAAAAATTATTTTACCGGAACATCACTAGACGGTGATTTTGAAAGGTGTACATGTAACAAAACTGATAATTGTACAGCCATTATCAGTTTGCGTAAAGGAAGGGAAAGCATTTTTTACACATCAGTTTGCGTAAAGGGAAGTGCGTAAAAAGCTGTTTTTCGTTCAACCCTAAGCTAGGGCAACTATGGGATAGCCAGGCAATCTGCCAGTAACTGCTCACCGGCTTGGATTTCCATTCGGCGATCTCCTATTTTGAATCATCCGCTATTACGTTATTGATTACTGGATGATTTTTAAAATCACAATGGTATTAATTCTTTGGCATGAATATCGATCAAAGTGCAAAAGGTTTAGAGAATATTTAGGGTTGCCAAATGCAAATATTTTATTAAAAACATGATTCTTTTGGTAATAATGAAAAATTATAAAATAAATAAAGAGATAAAAATACGAGGCTGCAATAACCTACCTTGCAGGGCTGGTGCCGGGGAGGCGGCGTGGCGACACGACCCATCCCGACAGCCCGTCGCGCACGACTGACAAAAACCACGATATTTCTGATCAAACTTCAGCGCATGATATAAGTTCAATGTATAACGCGTACTAAAGGCATGGCATAGCAATGAAACTGCGAATAGCAATGAATGTACAGCATAAATGTGATGCTTGAGCATATATTGAAGTATAACACAAATTTTCATGCATAACAAGAAGTTGGAGAACAAGACTGAGCCACGAGTGTTGTTCTCCGAGTGTTGTTCTCACCTTACGGCCGCAGTTGGTGTACGTGATCACGATTTGAGTGCCATTGTGTATTTTAGAGTTGACGAATGTGGGTTGCCCGCCAGTGTGTGCCAGGGGCAGCCCGCTGGGGGAGAGAGGACTCCTGGGGGACAGCGTGTGGTCCCGAACGGCTGGCAGAGACGGCTGATCACCATCTGGGACGGAAGAGACACGCATCGTTCACTGGATGACGTATGGTTATGGCCAGCAAGTAAGTAAGAACATTTAATGTAGTATAAACATTGTTCGTAAATTATACGTGTATTAGATGAGGAACGACACGTGACGTTAACTGTAAATCCTCAAGGCTGACCGATTGTATAAAATCTGAGCACGAACGCGACCGTATTGATGGCGTGACCTATTGAGACCGGTCCTGTGAGATGGCGTGACCTATCGAGACCGGTCCTGTGAGATGGCGTGACCTATCGAGACCGGTCCTGTGAGATGGCGTGACCTATAGGTGGCGTGACCTATTGAGACCGGTCCTGTGAGGTGGCGGGACCTATTGAGACCGGTCCTGTGAGGTGGCGTGACCTATTGAGACCGGTCCTGTGAGGTGGCGGGACCTATTGAGACCGGTCCTGTGAGATGGCGTGACCTATTGAGACCGGTCCTGTGAGGTGGCGTGACCTATTGAGACCGGTCCTGTGAGATGGCGTGACCTATTGAGACCGGTCCTGTGAGGTGGCGTGACCTATTGAGACCGGTCCTGTGAGGTGGCGTGACCTATTGAGACCGGTCCTGTGAGATGGCGTAAGCCGACCTGCGCCGAGGCATGATGGCGTGGAGTGGGGGAGTTAATGCGTACCGTGGGGTGGAGCGGACTGGGGGATGGGGGAAGACATGGACTTGCTGACGCCCCTGGGGGAAGGGCTGGCGCCCCTCAGACGCGGGGAAGGCACCGCGTCGGCGGTGAGGCTGTGATCCAGGGGCAATAACACCTGACACGCGAGCATAGCATATAAAAAATATTATTATCATAATTTGTAGTAGGTAATATGAGTGTTAGCTAAAATTACGCTTCTTTAATACTTATTACAAGTGATATTGTTTGATACGTAATTTGATACGTAAAATACGTAAATACGTATTGTTTGATACGTAAAATACGTAATTTTGCTAAAAAAAATACTATGAAAATCATTGGCAATGAACCATTCATTCATAGAATTTCTACGTTTAAATAAGAAATTTTTGATTAATTACAATAGTTATGAATTTATAAGAATTTTGCTGTGAGTGACAGAGATCTCAGTGAGTTGTGACATGTGGAGTGAGGCCAGCAGGGCACGGCGTCAGAGAGTCACCAGAGAGGCCACACTCACGCTGCCGTTGCTTGTGGCCTCGACGGGGCCGTGGGGAGTTATTTGTATGTGCAGGGCCTTCTGGTCCCCAGGGGGGAGAGGGGAGGACGACACACCCACACTCTCATGGCTACCTGCGTCTGGAACGTGAAACTTGAATAAAGAGTGGCTTTTGCGCTGCTTGAGGACAGTTTTTGATGGATAACAAGACATTTTTCACTTGAAGCCTATTTAGAATTGTCGCTTGTGATAAATAATCTACAAATTGCTTCAGTAGCATAAAAAGTGTTCGAAAAATATCGTTTGATACTTGACTATATAACCTCAAGTAATTAATAATGAATTTCTTTCTCTGCCACAGCTGCTTGTTGATGCTATTCAACAACACATCAGTAAATTGGCTGGCAGGCAAGGTTCCAGCTATGAGTAATGTGTCAATGGAAGTGTGCCATTAGGCCTCAAGGTAGGGATAATAATGATGATGTTTGATGTATCCGAACAAGGGATAATCTGAGGCTGGACTGATGATATTTGATCTATCGGAAGAAAGGTTAATCTTTGGCTGGATTGATGATATTCGATATATCCGAACAAGGGTTAAAGTCTGATGCTGGTCTGATAATAGTTGATCTATCCGAACAAGGGTTAATCTGAGGCTGGAATGATGATATTTGATCCATCCGAATAAGGGTTATTGGCTGAAGTTTCTATCAAACAATATCACTTGTAATAAGTATTAAAGAAACACACCTCGGATGTTGATGACGGGAGTCTCGGGTGTCGGAGATGCCACGATCTTGGCGCCGAACTGCACCTCAGAATTGCTCACGTTCATCACGGCGCCCGCCATGTTAAAATGGAACGGATTCCCTGAAATTTCGTTCAAATCGAACGCCGGGGACTGGCGGTCCCCAGCCGGAGCAGTCGACGGGCTGGGGGCGCAGAGCCCCAAGAGTTCCTCGTCTCCAGGTTGTAACTGAATCTCCGTCATAACGAAGACGTTATTTTAAACTAACAAGGATAACTCGTTCAGCGATCTTGAGGGACTGTCGCCGTTAGAGATTATACACGAAATGAAAATTAGAAGGGCTCGAGATTATCGAACTTTTTCCATAGTGATGATGAATCTTGCTGAAAACCAAAATGAATTGAGAAGCTAGAGCAGCTCGTGTCAAAGTTGCTAAGACATCAAATCACAACCGAGCCAGCTGCATTTTTCTAAAGAATTTATGAACAACAGCAGCTTTGTCCCTCACCGTCAAATTGCACCTCATGGCACAGTTGGTTCCGTGCAACAGCGAAATCAAACTCAAGCTAACTCTGTTGGAAGAAAATCAAACTTCAGCACGAGTCGCACACGAAAAGTGATAATAAAAGTGATTCAATTTATAGGCCCCGTAATGTGGAATGATTTCCCTTGTAGATACAAGTCAGACTGAGCGTCTCTTCTATTAAGTGTTTCCTTCATTGTTTGTCGCCGCCTCTGCGTGCGCTGCATGGGCACGAAAGAAGCAAGGGATGAATTTTTGTAATTTTTGCAAAAAAAAATTATTAACTTCGCGCTCTCACTAAACATTCATATTATTGTATATTATTACCAAGGCCGATTCTGTTAAGTTTCTGAGAAAATGAAAAAGGAAAACATTTTTCTGAAAAACGTGCTTAACTTTGTATTCTTTCCAAGGATTGGAGATGATTTTAAATTGATAACCGAAATTTTGAAAACTACGTAATTTCTACAGTTAATCTGACATTTTTTGCAAGCTACTTACCTAACTGAATAATTTTAAGGAACGTCGAAAGTTTTGCTATATCCACATAAAAGCATATTTTCTCAGCTTTTACATTATCTTGGAATATTTTGTTACTTGAAAAGGAAAATCCACAATTTGGACAAAGAAAGAAACTAAAGTTATTTAGGAACTATAATAGCTTTGTAGTATTTAACAGCCCGTATATAATTCAGTAATCTTTACCAGGAACTCTTACAAAACAACGTCCTCGTACACACACCAGTTATCGTAACGCGCGTGCCTCGTCTCAGGTCACGTCTGGTGACGACACAACACCTGTGCGCTTTAACACCGCAATAACAAGGCTTCAATATATGAACCCCCATACCATATTCAGAGAAAAATTTATTTGCATTGAAATACGATAAATAGAAAAGAACGGGCAGTTGGAAAATACGACAGGCTAATTAAAGATCCACATATTAATATAATTCCAATGAAACTCCATTATTAATGTCATAAATATTAATATATTATATAGCAGGAGCCATATAGTTAATTGGCTTCCTACACAAGAGCGTCTGGCACGCATATATGCGACCGCTTGCATATACGCGCGTCTAGCTTGCCTGTGACACGCAAGGGAGGCTCTCTACAGTGAGCAGGGCAGTGAGCAGGGCAGTGAGCAGGGCAGTTAGCAAGGTAGTGGGCAGGACAGTAAGCAGGACATTGAGCAGGGCAGTAAGCAGGACAGTGAGCATGACAGTAAGTAGGACAGTGCGAATGGCAGTGAGGAGGACAGTGAGCAGGACAGTGAGCAGGGCTTGTGCAGAACAGTGAGAAGCCGAGAACAACAGCGAGCAGTAATAATCTTCGACCGAAACGAGCGGACCGGAGTTTCAGTTAAAAAAAAACTGCTACGCAAATCCTTTTGACGGTCGAAAGCCTCAGAAATCCTCGACACTTCAGTGCTTGACATCAGCGGACGTATCCCAGGACCTGATCACAACAAGCCTAAAGTTTACACACGGCGACCACATTCCAGCAGATAAATCAGCAACGAAGACAGCCTCCGCCAAACCTGCAGCGCGGTCATTACACCGGTCCATCATTCGGGCACTATAAACCGCATTGCTCGATAAATAAATACAGAAACTAATAAAGAGCTTGAGAGAAAAACACGTGACTTCTCAGTTGCTTCGTTGCCAAATTGGAGGGTGACTCTGTGCAACATATCTTCACTTTAAATTAACATTAACATGGTCATCATTTGACTTTCTCCATTCATTCGAAGCATTTAGAGCGTTGCATGGTGCTAAAGTCGATGAAAACTGAAACAGTTCACAGGCGTGCTAGCTGCTGGCCAATATTAATGTAAACGCCAACAATTCAGTGTCTCCAGTTCGTATTTTCTCACTGCTGCCTTAAAAATGCCATCAGTATTGCTGCGACATGCCATCAGTAAAGATGCCATCAGTATTACTGCGTCATGCCATCAGTAAAGATGCCATCAGTATTGCTGCGACATGCCATCAGTAAAGATGCCATCAGTATTACAGGGCTTCAGACAGGCTCGTCTTCCCTGTGAGTTTCTCCACAAATTATGCTGGACTTTACGTACTCCACTTTGTAAATGAGACGAAAATCTGAATTTTTCCATGCTTAACCAGCTATTTATTTACAAACGGCGGTGGACAGTAATGTTTTCTTTGTATTAAAAGAGTTATTTCGAAGGAAATTTCAAGAAACTTTGAATATTAATGTTCATGAAGTGTACGACTTTCACACTTATCTCGAGATGTCAACAGGTTGAACTTTTTATTCTCCACTGAATGGCATACTTGGCATTTCATAATCAGCCTCCTTGTTGTAGATATTATCTACCAAAAACTAGTTATGAAGAGCATACGTGGAGTGAAAATCCCGTACTATATTAACAGATTAAATGGAAGCGTGTGGAAGTATACGAGGGGAAAGAGACGTCGTCAATTACTGTGCTGTCAGTCCACGATCGACGGGCGGCATGATGAAGGCGGACTCAATGAGGGGCGAGGAATAATACGTGGCCAGTGGTCGGCCTAGTCCAATTAGTTATAGCCGACCGCTGGCCATTCTTTGGCCACCTGAAAGCTGCCTGTTGCCACAAAAAAGGGGGCTGGCTAGGATATCATATTTCAAAGACTACAAGCTCGAGGGTAGCGACTAGCCGGGCTTAGGGCAGATCCAGGATTTCACACGTTGACGTTGGTTGCGAATATTTCGCCCGCAAGCAGACGGTGAAGTCGAGAGCCAGGAATGTGCGACAATGATGTGGAATCCTTGTTAGGGGGTGGGAACCCTCTCCAACGATGTTAGAAAGGGTTCACCCCTTTCCAACATGTTGAAACAACAATGTGGAACCATTTTCAACGATGTGGAACCCTTATTGTAGCTTTAACTGAGCTGTTATATATAGGCTGCAGAGCTTTCGTCAGGTACGAATCCACAGTTCTGTGTTAGGTTAGGTGATGTGTTCATATGCATTTATTTGTAATTAAATTATCTTGATGTTTTGTGAAACTATTATCTTGAGATCTATTTATTCGTGTTATTTTGTTAATCTTGTGCGACAAAGCGGAGTTACTGCTCTCATTCCCAGCTTACTCCTCACGTCTTGCTTATGTTATCTTGACGGTTTCTTGCCTTTCGTTAGATTGTTCAAGGGTTACTTCTGAATAAAAGAAAAAACTACGACTGCTGTAACTTAACCAAAAAAATATTACTACAGACAAGTAAGAAAAATATTTACAAATAGCAGAAAATTTCGGCATAAAAAACGTTCGTCCGCACTGCTGAGCAATATAAACAAAATCTTACTCAATTCGATAGAGACAGTACACGTTTTTACCCTGCAGTCCCATAATATCAAAACAGTACATAATTCACTGCACACAGAACGCGCCTTTACTCTGTTTGCCGATCAGTAGTATACAATTTTCTGGAATGGTATGCAATTCTCTGTTTAATGCTTGTTTAGTGCTGAACTCTAACATTTTATTGCACCAGCAACTGCATGTTCATGACGTTGGAGTGACGTCATCGACGGGGAAAGCCCAGCACGCCAACAGCCAATGAGCGACCGGCAGTGGCGGCGGAGCAATGCAAGCTGCAACCAATCACGCTGTTGTGATGATGGTGGTGAACAGGCATGCTGAGTGCCACACGTGAACGCTGAAGATTTTTCGTACATTGCTTTGAAATTATCAGCATCTATGCATTTCTTGCTTGCCATACGTTCAAGTGACACGTACTGATCAAGCTAGAAATGAGAATTGTTGAGGGAAATCAAGGTAAGTTATTTCCTAGCAGCGAAGGCGTGGTCGAACACTACGACCTTTACGGCACACTTGAGAAGGTTCTTTCTTCCTCCGCACAATAATGGGCACAACGAAAACAATGAGCGAGACCAGAAGACATTGATATGAGCACACAATTAAGATAGAAGTAATTGATCTGAGATGCCGTAGGACAGAAAAACCATTAAAAATTATCGGTTGGAAATAACATAAAAATTGCAAGTGGCCATTCAAAGGTTACACGGAGGACATTCTTGTCATATTATGCATCACGTACACAAAGAAGAGCGAATGTAAAAGCCCGCTATATAAACAAGAAAATTTCAAGATTTCCGCTACATAATGATTTCAATTTGAATAATGTTATTGAGTCTACATTCCTAAAATAATTTTAACCGATATAACTATACAAAATTGAAGCAGTTAGTTGCGTGTTCGAGACTCGCAACAAGCTGTGAATGTTCTGCGATGTTCTGAGTCGGCGACAAAAATGACGGTCCATTTAACGCTGCCACCGCTGTACTATACTATACAGTATACACTATACTATACACAATACTATACTATATTATACTGTACTATATTAAACTATATTATACCACATTATACTATACTATACACTATACTAGAATATAATCCCTCCTACTGAATGGAGTTAACGTCGGGCCACGAGGCGAGGCGCGCGCTAACCTATATGCATGTCTGATATAGATTCCCATAATGAACCCGGAAAACGAGACGAGACAAGAAATGTAGCGGTAGTCCAAGGAAAATGAATCAGAGGAAAGAATTGTCCAGGAATGAAGTTAGATATCAGGAAATTATTACGAACCGAGACAAATATGAGATGGAACGTGACATAACGATACGGTAAATCCTATTGCGGTGCATGCCCGAACGCGCATAGTAAGGATTAACAAGTTAAACTTGATTATTGATGGTCATTTGTGTAGCTTTAGCGACATTAGACTGCCAGCACAACTTGGCAGTGATTGTTTTTAGTTTAATTTTCCTAACTTTTCAAGACCCACACAAAGTTTAGTGTCGAAAAATTGCAGGGTAAACCGTATGACTCAACTCTCAATAGAGTGGGCACGTCAAAATTGATTTTTAATCTGTTCACTTTTTAGTGAGTTTTATACTCGGCACTATTTCGGCAATATCTCAACTTTCAAATTATGGCAACTTCGACAAAGCACATAAGTTTCCTCGAGTAAGATAAACGTCACGACAGGCAGTGAGGGCATGAA